CTCTCTAATAAAAACATGTTTATCTGATACTAGGTTTTCATTTAGATATAAATAGGGAATAGATACGATTACTTTTTGTATTAACTTTAATAAGAAACAAAATCAGATCGACTTGTAATATTTTGTTTTTTATTACTTGTAAATTATTATATTATACTATCTCTTTTATATCTAGAAATTTATTGATATATTAAATATGAAAACCTCTTTGTTGTAATATATAAATAATAAATAACCCATACGAAACTAGTGTTATATTCGTCATATTCGTATATATAAATCTTTATAATTACGTTAGCTTTACATATTTGCAGAAATTTATAACACTATCTCATATAACCACGGATCCATCATCAGATCCTTTATTGATAACGAAATTGATTCCAAACATACCTACCAGCTACCTATTAATATTATCGTATTACAATCTATTAAATTAAATAGATAACATACATATTATATATTACAAAAATAGTTCAATAAAGCGGATCTTTTTGATTTTATAAATGATGAAGTAAGTAATATAGATAGATATATTTGGTTTAAATCGTGTAAAGGTTAATGCAAACGTGCGGTCAACGACCATTCATAATAATTCATTGCAAGTCCGTGGAACTAGTATGCGAGTCGTGAGCGACGCAACTTTTAAAACATTCTTAAATGGAAATAAAAAAAAAAAAACATCTGTCAAACCGAAACATCGAACACGTAAACATTCTTAATATTACATACAGAATTCTTCGATATTTTTTAGCAATTTATAAATTTTCTTCTAGATCTTGCATATTAATAATACTGTTTTAAGCAATATCGGCTTTTTTGCGTGAATATATTATTTTCTTAGTAATTTATTATGTTTTAATATATTAAGTATATTTAATACGGGATCGTTGAATTTATATTAATTTATGCAATCTAACGACGCGCCCACAAGCGATGTTAAATTCCAACTGCATTGTTAACATGCGAATAAACATTTAAATTTTACGTTATGTGACATCCCTATTTATGTTTCTAACAAGAAAACATGAATAATTGTGATTTATAATAAACACAAACAAACTTATAAGGCCTGATATGTTTACGCTATCAAATAAACTGAGTCACATAAATCATTTTTCACATCTAATATTTTAATTAAATATCTTATTTGAATATTTACGGTTACAAAAAACTTATGAAATTTTCCTTAGTAAACGCCTACACTTCTGTAGAAAAACAGGTTATTTCGTTAGGTATGGCCACATTTTTTATATATAAAAAACAGCTTATAAAATTACCAGCTTAAAGCTATCACAATTAGAAATGACATTGAGAAAAAAGTGCATTGTTAGAAGTCACGGACACGAACGAGTACGCTATATGCTTGCTTCATTATTGAACCTCTCAGCGTTCGCACGCATGTTGATTTCCGGTCGCGGAGCAACAGGTTATTTAGGTCATAAAAATATAAACTCTAAGTCTTTTGTATAGAATTCAATTTACAATACGGGCGAAGAAAATGCGTATTGTATGCTTAGTAAAATATTTGAACACTCTTATCGAGAATGGCTCTTAAATTTTAATTGGCCAACACTGCATATGAATATCCGAGGTGTTAAGTTGTAACAATGTACGATAGAAGATTATTTATACATTGTTATAGAGATGAAACGCCGATAAATGATTTTCTTACATCTTGTAGCATCGGAAAGAGAAATTTAAGATTATCTGAAGGGAAACTTTAATTTAATATTTAATTAGAATTATTAAAAGCAATTTTCAATGAGTAATATTATTCAATACTATAAAAAAATTTTGATAAAGTTAAACATTTATCAGATAAATAGTACAATTATTTTGTACCTGCAACGAATATTGATACAGTTCTGATTTCCAATATGCTATTATGGCTTTACTAAAATATGTGTATAAAGCCAATGGTCTAGACGATTTTTTGTTTTAATATCTACTTATTTTATTGTGTCTATTCAAGATAAATAATCTTAGTCATTGCTACAAAGAGAAATCACTAGTTAATTAAGATTTTTTTATTAATTTTTTTTTATAAAGTAATAAATAATTTAGTAAAATTTTTAATTTCGTCAAGCAACAGCGTTTCGTTATCAAAAATTTTTCGAATTCTCAGCTTTATTTGTCGAACAAATTTATAGGACTCTTTCGTTTATTCGCAATTAAAATATTTATCAACTATATATGTAATCCAGATCACGTTAAGTATTTAAGTGGAATTGTAGAAGATAACTTTCTCAAAATGTTGCAGTGCAAATTTGGATATACTAATTACCACTGAGACAGATGCCACCGTTTTCATTAATTAAAATCAAAGGAACGTTGAAAGTAAATCGTCTTGCAAACCGTGGCATTACTTATACAATTTTTATTTAATTTTTCTTGTTTTTATATGTTGAAGATATAAAAGTTAATGTACTGAGACGTGATTTACATTTCAAAGTCAAGGTGATTCAAGAGCATCATATTGTATCTATCTATTTTATAAGAAGTTTCATGCCATTACATTATATAAGAACTTAATTGTATTTAACAGATAATTTTAGCTTAAACTAAGAACTTAGGTACATTAGAATAACTAGCTATAGTACATTTGAATTGCTTATTAATGTTCTCTATTAAATTCGCTTTTGTTTTGATAGTCACAGTCGATGGACATCGTCGAACTCAAATTATAACGGAGGCATGTTCCATTACAATAACCAAGTATTAGTCTAACTTTGCATGTTTTTCCTATTTTTTTTATGTGCGTATTGTATGCATATCTTACAAAGTAATTTATTACAGCATATTACCGTTTGCGTCATGTATGAATAGAATATAACAGGGAGACTTTCTCAAGACTTATATACAGTTAAGTTTTCGTTGAATTCAGCCTCGTTGCTGGAATTCCCATTATAAAATAATTTTATATAAAATGTATATTTCAAGTATTCCGTCTTAGAAATGAATTCTAAAGTCTCAAACGCGAACTGCATAAGGTTACATTTAGTTTCTATAAGTACAGCTTGAAACAAATTAAACTCCTGTTTTCGAACTAACTTCTAGCTAAAACGAATGCAATCGTAATGAAGTTGACTTCAGTTTTGCAAAAAATATTTACATCACCTACTTCTTGACGTTAGCTGCAAAATAATAGTTTTAGATATATTTTTATTCAAGATAAAAAAAAACGTGTTCTATCCAACATCCTTTTCCTACACAGCTAACTGTTTCAGAATAACGTTCCCATACCTTTGGTAATCCGCATTCTAATCTTTAGTTAAGTATAGTTTATGATTATCTGCCTTTATAAAAAAAGTATGTAGACCATCACTTATACCTCAATTTCTTATTAAAGTTAAGACATACTTATGTTACTAAGTTGAGACTCGAGTAGGTATCTATACGTTTTAATCAAATAATAATGAAGTAGTATATCAAATATGTATTTAATGATAATTTTCTGATTATTAAAAACCCTAGAAGCGTTGTTCTATTTGTTAATCGTTTTAGTATTCAATTAATATTGTACTACGTTACATTAGAAACAGATGAATAAATAAGATTTTGATACAATCAATTGATTTTTATCACGAAATCTATTTTAATAAATTTTATTTTTATTTTTGTCAACATGATTTACATATAGTTTATATGACAAAGGACGATCATGTATTTGTTATTCAGCACTTTACCCCGTTATTTATTCAGGGTAACATTTTTTTGACTGATATGTTACAAAAGGAACTTACTCGTAAATTATAAAGCAACATAACGTGTCGACCCCTCTTCCTTTCTGAATAATTTCATGTTTCCGGAGCTTGAATAACTTATAGACCTAACGTTCCTGAGCCGTTCTCCTTAAATTCAATTTTAGGGGAAAAAAATTCAGAGGAACCATATCTTATATTGAATATATATTTACAATTATTTAGATCGTTCCCTTTGAATGTTTATCGCTGACGTATAAATTATTTTTAGTCAAATAAAATTTAATGTTCAATATTATTCAAACCCAAAATAAACATTTGGACTGTATATGATGTATAACGGGCGTGGGTCTAGCGGATATCCTTATATACTCGAAGAAACGTTGACTAACAATTTACAGCAGCAATTTACGACTATGACATAATATTCAAAATATAAACATACATACATACATTACCATAAGACTCTCTCTTGTAAATTCGATAGATATTTATTACAAAGAATCTCTAGTTTAACGAAATTGGGCATAAAATTTCAGACGATTTTAGAATGAAAGTATATTACACTCAAAATAAATAGCATTACAGTCACACTGTTTGTTTTGGTTTATGTTATGTTTAATATTTTCATAAATAAGGATGTTATCAAACAGCAGATAACGATGACGTTATAATAAAATGATTATATGCATAACATAGAAATTCTTTGGGTAGTAATATTCTGAATAAACGTTATAAAAGACATTCATATTTGTATAGAGAAGACAGTGATATTTTATTTTACATTCAGTCACAATAAAGCTATCATTCCGAGAAAATCTATTTATAGAGACGTCGCTCATCACCTCGATTAATGCCTCTTCATTATTGCCAGCCATTCAGCCCGGGGTACCTACTACCTTCCCCTGTTAATCTCGGGAAACTTTTACGATTTGCTATATGACCGACTATTTGTTGGTGTGTTGCACACCATAGATTTTTATAGCGGCTATTATGTGTGTCTCGATAAAATTGCACGTTTAAATTGTGAATAGAAAACATATACAGTTGATAATTAATTAATATCCATATTGTAAATGGGGATTATTAGGAATATTTTAGTACGGAATATAAAATGTATATGCTACACACTTTTTTATTTTCCAAATATCTAAATATTTTTTAGTCTTCTTTCATTTCGTATAAGAAAATATAATACGCTTAATCTTACGCAATTTATAGTTTCATGTTTTTAACGTATGACTTTTCAAACCTAAAAGAAAACTATGATTATTTAGATAGTCAAGAACAGATGCTATGCCAAAAATTTGTGAGGTGACTGTTAAAAAGAAGAGTCGAAATTAGTTAATATACATAAAGAGAAATATATTATGTAAATAATATAACAATATTTTTTATTACAGTTGAGTGTGAGAGCGTTTTCTTTGGGATCCAGTTGCCGCTCCAATGTTGAGTGCAGAGTAACACATGCGCATTGCTCTAGGGGCGTTTGCGCGTGTCAGCCGTACTATGCACAGGTTGATAACTCTACTTGTCTCGAATGTAAGTATCATTAACTATAATTGTATACAATTTTGTATGCAATCTGTTGTTTGCGATTTCGAGATCACTCGACACAAATAATTTCATATGAAACAATTTTAATATTACAATTTCTGTTTTGTTATTTTCAATAATAATATAGTATGTAAGTTCTAAGAGACCGATACTTGTTATTGATTAATATTATGATGCTTCAAAAATATACCCAATACCCATTTAACACTTTTTTATTATAATTAATTAATAATATTGTTTATTAATTATACGAAATAGAATTTTGATGAGCGAAATTTAAATGAATTAAATATTTTTTTTTTGTTTACCAAAGTTAAAGGTTTTCTATTCTAAAGAGTTTGAGTCTCGGTCAATGACCCAGGCCCTTAATAAGATAATGAGGACAATGTTATTTTTTATTGTTCTTCCCACGCAGATTCCACTTTCTTTTAAGACCAAAAAGGAAAATTTACATAGCACACATTTAGAATGGTATTTCTTACTTTGGTATTTGACTATTGTTAAAAATTCAGATCATAGGAATAAAGGAAACTGATAAAAAAGCCTTTGTTTTTTCGAGACATAAATGTAACGAAAAAATATACTTATTTTTGAAAAGTGTATCTGACAAATATGTAGAGAAACTATGCGTACTAATAGTTTTGCTTATAAAAATATTGTAATAACAAAAACATTATGAAGTCAATTTGATACAATTTGCATTTTGATTAAATTTAATTCTTCTCAGGCTTTATATTTCATTGTTGTTCTGGCAATTAAATTGTATAAAAATAGCTCAAGTATTTTATTTGAAGTTCAAGTTAATCTTTATATACATCCAAAGGGTTTTGGTTTAGAATTTATATAACGTAATATAACGGTCATATTTACGGCTAGGTAATAAAATAGAACTTATTAATCTAGTGTATAATAAGCTGAGCCAGACAGGACCTAGACAGGTATCCGGTGGAAGCTAGGTCGAGCCGACTGTTAGTAATCTCCTGTCAAGCGTAGGTCGTAATTTCTGCATATAAAACAATTGCACAACGACACTTCCTTCAATATATATTTTTTAAAGAAAAATGTCACAGATTAAACGAATGCCAAAATGTATATTTCTTAATTTTTTGTCTGTGTTTACGAGTTGCTTCATAAATTACGATCGAATTTGTAGACATCATTTTTTTTTAAGTTTTAACGACTAAAATCTTAAATATTCTGCCTATATATTTATATATATATATATTTGTTTTTTAGTAAAATTATTTCGGTCATGTTTTATTTACAACATTTAATCCTACATATTCGAAATTCGATTTCCCTGTTACGTATTTAATGTAAATTTAAAGCTAATTTATTGATCAACAAGATTTACATCACTTGTTTTTACTGTTATAAAATCATATATTATTTCCAAGTAGGATTTTATATCAAGCGAGCTCTAATCAAGTAGTTATCACATATTTCTCAAATGACCTTTGTTCTGTGTGGTCGTAACACAAGTGGACATGATCCTTGTGCTAATGAACTTGACAGACTTCATAGACGAGAAATTACGACAAGCATAATATTTTATTACCATAATAAAATTGTTTTAATCATTTAGATAAAGATATATCGGATTTTATAAGAACCGTTTAGTGAATATAACTAGATGCTTATTTCTATAAGACACAAATATCAATTGCCAGACAAGATAATAATTCTCTTGTAAGCCATTGAATGGAGTACGACAATAAATCTGTATTAAAACTTGGGGTCATATTATCAATTTATTTTGTACCTACATCAAGAGCCTTTAAGTGTAAACAGTAAATTTAAAAAGATGGGAAGAAGATTACTTAAACTTATCACAGTGATATTAATTTCCTAAATGTATATTAGGTAAATAAAATAAACCAACAATTAGAAACATTTTTATATGTACACAGGTAGATGAAACTTCAAACCCAAGTAAGAATTGTATAAAAGTACATTTTAAAATTAAATGTGCATACCAGTAGATCAAATATATTTTAATATCACCCCGAACTTCTTAATATTATTTTGAATTGAAGTCAAAGAAGTATTTTTTTTAATAATTAATATATTTAATTTCTAAGTTTTTGTCTCCTCCCAAGAAGATATAGATAGATTTGGTAAAATTTTACACAAAACATCTCCAGGTTATTAAAACATAAGATTCATTCTTAGAATAAGTTTCAAATCGGTATGGTCACATCTTTTATGTGAATATGAAATGATTATATATAATAGGGTAATCACTGATAACTACAGCGTCATTTAACCCAGCTCAAGATTGAATATAAAATCGAATGATCCAAACTATTAAACTTTCACATTAATGTCTATGGCATAAAGTGGTATAAAGTGTACATGTTTCTATCAATCCTTTTATTTCTCGGTCACGGTATGGGTCATATGTGACAAGTATTACAGTATTCCTAGTCAATTAACCCACATAGGCAACCAGTTGACAATATGTTTTGTTTATAAGAAATAATTTCTAGCAATCCAACTATAACTGGACATGATTATTCCAAGTTAGACACGATTTTCTTTTGAACTTATATTACTGACAGTAGTAGTTAAAATTTCTTATTAATTTAACTTTGATGATTAGCAACATATTCTATGACTTCGGTAGGCATTTAAAAATTCAAAGTAAAACGATTTTGATCGGTACTTGTACTCTTAATTTTATGACCATTATACAATTAAAAACTGAATTGGGTTAATAATTTCTTAATATAATATGAAATTTTATATGGCATTTGGTAAACACTGAAATGTTTTCATTAACATCTTAAATCTGATTAGAAGTCGCGATGAAAACCTGAAAGTAATTGGATTAAAATCTATACTAATATTATAAAGCTGAAGAGTTTGTTTGTTTGTTTGAAAGCGCTAATCTCCGAAACTTCATTTAAAAAACTCTCATCCAAATGACCAATAAATTCAATTGCCATTATGATTTTTCTTTTTTAACTAGGATTTTTTAATTAACCATTTCAAGTCTCTTCTACCTGGCAATTTCCCAGCTTTAGCCAGGGTCTGCCTTACATGGTGTGAACAGTTTTGGCTAATTGTTTTTACGACCGGCCACCTGCCTGTCATCACCCTCTTTGAGAATAGATAACCATTCCAAGTAAATGTTATAATTATACCTTATAGTAATTGACTAACCTATAATATAATCAAATTAATTTAACGTCTTAAAATGTTAGCAAAAATACAACTGAATCAATATTAGCAATTTGTCCTCAATTTTAATGGAACTTATTTATTTTAGAGTCAAACAGGGAAAAGTGTTACAAGTTAAAAAAATACCAATTTAAAAGTAGATCGTGAAAATAATAAAAGTTTTAAAATTATATTTTAATATAAAACTTCATTTTATCATAAATATAACTATTTATATTAGGTATATTGTTAATTGTTAGGATTGTTTTAAAAATGAATTGCTGTCCTTTAGTCTCACTAAAACTCGAGAACGGCTAAACGGATTTATCTCATGTTAGTCTTGAAATGTTTGTGGAGGTTCAGGGAAGGTATAAAAGCTGAAAAAAATTTATTCATCACTGGGAAAACCATAAAAACAGCCCTTTTCTATCTCCCATACAAACGGTTTTTTTGACATTAGATTTGACAACTAACTAGTATGTCAATCATTCTGTCGCACTTCAAAACACGGAGATTTATGGCTTACTCCAAAAATATAAATAAAAAAACGTAATAGATATTTCTTGATTATAGGGCGATACGAAGTTCGCCAGGTCTTCTAATAAACTATGTATATCTTAGGTATTTTAAACGTTGTAACGATCAATAAATATAGAAATAGAAAAAAGCAATGACTAAAGTAAGTATTCTTTGTATTTCTATGCATTCAGTAAGTCTTTTTTAAAGTTGTTTACCCTTTTTAACTTTTTTGTTTATATTTTCTTGTTGATTGTATAAATACCCAGTAATATGGCGTATCTCTGTGTGATCTATAACTTCCATAACGGTGTATTACGAGAATGTAGCAATAAAGACGGTCTATAAAATTTAAAGCTATAAAATAACACTGAACATAATGTTTTATTTTCTATCGCTAGTTCTACATCCTTACGTTCTTTACTAAGACCAATCAATTAGATAATTGGACTCGGTCTTTTTGAAAAAGCACATTTAGAGACATACAAAATAATTAAGTATATAGTCACAGTTATAAATATCTTAAATCAAAAGTTTTACAATCTTACAAAAGAAACACATATTTCCATAACTGAAATAAAGTTGGACAGGTACTTTATTTTACCTTCATAATTATAACCTAATGAGTAAGGCTAAAGCTAATCAAATTATAATTGACCTGTGAAATACATTCATTATAAAATTAACTTAGGTTACATTATCAATTGTATTAAATCGGTCAGTAGTGCTAAGTAGGCATTCAAAAAACAAGGGTTAGAGATTAATTTCATGACTGGAAATAACGAGCCGCTCGAATTAGCGTTTCACGGTTTTCAAATTGTGAACGACCAAATCACGTCTTGTTTTTGTATCTTAAGTTTTACAAATAATGTGACCACGAAATTAAATTACTCATTTTTTGTGCTCTCTAGGATTCATACAAACTGTCATTAATTTTAACAAGTGAAATAAGAACATCACAACCACAAAGAGCACTTTACGTGCCTCACTTAATCATAAATAAAAAGTTTACTATAGATAGTAAAAGAATGTCTGACGGTTCCTTTACGTGAATTACTGAAAAATTATAATAATTACAACTTATTATAAAAAATGACAATATAATTGGTACTGCCGAGCTATGTTATTACGCATTAATCAAACAATATAATTTGTACAGTAATTTATCTAGATACGTTCAGAATTCCGCCGGCATTATTTATGTGTGACATTAACATTGTTGTTAATCGTTTGAAAGTGTACATTAACACGTGCGGAAATTATAAATACACTCTATTAACTATATGATGTTGATACATTAAAAAAATGTTTTCCGAATTCTATAAATTAAATCACCTTGACACATGCGGACACTGGTGGGTAAATGAAAAAAATATAACTTCCTTGAAATAATTGTGTCTGTTCAGTGTTTATTGTTAGTTTATTGGTAATATTTGATTTTAATTATATGCTTTTTAATCACAAACATGCATGAATATCTATTGGCATCACTCGCGTGCTCAAAGACACGGCTAACTTTACTCTAAATAGGGTCGCGTATGGGGTCATGAACTCGTCATTCAATTTTTACTCTCCACCTTCATTCATTCGCTCCTGACTGACAGTTCTCGCCCAGCCTTCGGCGCTAGTGTTTATTTTTTTAGGTGCTTGACTGTCTAGCACTACGTGAAAGGAAATTTTAATGGAAAGTAGATATCTGTATGAGTACTTTGATGGACGTTATAACTGCACATGACATGAAAATAGCACAGTATAGCCAATTAAGGTGATATTTTTCGCCGAATTTATAAAATGGTTATTAACAGTTTATTGGCATAGGTTACTTTAAAATATCTTCTCTTTATTACAAATATGACAAATTACACAGTAACACAAACAAACCAACAGCTTTTTACATCCTTTTATTACATTCCTTGTATTGTGTTTCATACAATTTTAATAATTTTATAACAAGTCAAATATAAGAAAAAACATTATTCGATATATTTTTTGCCTCTAAAATATAAGGCGGCGCGTCACTTGTAAATAATTAATATGGAATGGAAGCAATGAAAACGATACCTACATACTTGTTACGATAATTATGTAAAGAAATAGCATTTGTTGATGTTATCATGTTCATTACGACACTACGTATTATTTATGAACCTTAATATTTTTTAATGATTACAAGTTGTTATTACTTAGTACTACTAGTATACATGGGGTAACTAAAAAAAAATTAAAGTTAAATGCCGAATGTGGGAGAGCTTTACTTATAAATTTTAAAATCTATGAATATTTCATTTCACTACTAGTATGCAACAATGACATTACTTTATTTTGTTCTCTACAATTAGTTTGAATATTTATGATATAGTATGTCTCTAATTGAAATTAAAGCCTTTTATTTTAGTGATAGCTGTATCTAATCAGTTATGTTTGAATAAAATCAAAAATAAAATGAAATTGTTAAATTAAAATAGTAACGATAAACGTCAATAGTATTTTTTTTCAAACTACCCCCTTTTTTATTGGATTCCTATAAAATTATCTCTTTTGTTTCAGCAACACTTCTGGGATCGGAATGTATAGTATCGGAACAATGTACCCTAAAGGTAGCGTACAGCGCCTGCTTGGACGGCCTCTGTCGATGTTCCGACGGACATTTACAATTCAGAAAGCATACTTGTTTGTCTCGTAAGTAAAACTTTAAATTTAGGCTAACATCATCACTTTCCTTTGACTTCATATTGCACTGAAGATATTTATGTATAAGTTAAATTTAGTTAGATGTCAAATCAATAAACAGTAACTAGCAGGTATGATCCCATAATGATCCAATTCTAAAGAACGTTCGCTTTCAACGAGAAAACTGAACTTTCCGAATCAATGACTTCACGCATAGTAAGTTAACGCTTTAGAAACAGATAAGTCACCGTGTAATTCCATAACACGGACAGATGAAAGTCCAGATATTAATGTAGTGTAGCCTAGTGGTACTGGGAGATGGTAGGTAATTTAATAATAATTTTATCCAATTTCGTCAATCACTTTTCATTGATCTAATGTGATAGAATAGTTATTGCCTATAATAAATATAATAAAAATATGATTGATTTCTCGATCAATATGGCACCTTCGAAGCATTATATTTACAACCACAATGTGGTCCGCGGAAATCTTGTTAAATTACCACAAAAACCTTCCGATATTATGTATAATTGAACGTCGTTTGTAATCCACAGCTATTAGACGAGCAGGAAAGTAATTCGTATCTTTATTTATAATTGCTAAGTAATTATAAATAAAGACATAGGATACATATTAATGTACAATAAATATTCTCATCAGCAGTTAACATTAACTACCTCCATAATTTATTACGCAAATTACGTGACATGTGTCCGTTATTTTTATACTTACAACTTTTTTATCTCACTTATATTGCCTTTTAATTCGATAGTAATTGGAACGTTTGTTTTTCAATAATGATTAATAACTGATATTAAGAAGAAATTTCCGGACAGTGAGTTATTAGTGCATGCAATAACGAGCTATTTAGTCAATGTCAGGAAAATTGCCAACCTCGGTCTAGATCACCAACTTTACGCTAATTATTTCATGGCTCATAAGTTTATTACTGCATTTATATCACTGCTAAGGCAATGTTCCTCTTAGAGCTATATTTAGCAAATTTTATTTTGTTATTAGTTTTAAGAATAGATAACCGTCTAATGGTACGAGAGCTAGCAACGTCAAAAAAACAAGCATTTCAGGTAGGCTAGTTTTTAGATATGCTATCTCTCACACTCCCCTGGACGTCCTACGGGCTATCTGGCTGCCGGTAGTGGTTGCGTTCATTAGTGCGCATCGTACTTGTGGAGGTAAAAAATTAATATATCAAATCATTTTAAGAAGGTTTTTTTTATTATTATTATTTTTATTGAACTATTCACAACATAAATTGATTATTGCCAGGTATTTTTATTGTTGTTTAAACGGTGCCAAGCGGCAATTTTGAATTAAAATTTTTTTTTTTCAAACTATTTTAGTATAGCTGAAATTTTAATAGCATGTTATTTAACTATCTAAAAGCTCAGAATTAATTTGCCAGGAAAAAAATCGGTTGTTAAACTTTTGCCAGATCGAAATAAAGTGTAAAGAGATGTAGTATCATTTAAGCTCGGTCTAGAAAATTAAGCGTCTAATAAATGATGGAAGAAGGATTAAAAACTATTGAATTTATTTATAGATGAATACGGTATAAAAATAATACTTTATTGTTGCACAAAATTGAGATAATGATCAATGTTAAGTTTGAAAAAGATCATCATCTTCATCACTGCTGTCATTTCCATTGTCATCATCGTCCTTAAAATTATTATCATTTTGTAATAAGCTGTTATCTGTAATAGAATCAAAAATTTTAATATATTTCGAGAAATATTTTTTTTTGTATTTTAGTTCAAATTTTTACCTTTAATATTAATATCGGCAACTAATGTTTTTAATTGCTCCCCAACAAACCAGATAAAATCATATTTATCATCATTAATGGTCCAGCCAGAAGCTTGAAGTGATAGAGATGTTGGGTATTTTAAATAAGCATTTCTCCAAAACGTTGTGACATAACGAACTCGTAGTAAGTGTTGATATAACTCAGCTTTACTCGGTGGTAGACTTGATGGATCAAAATTACGGAACTTTTTTTCAAAATTATACGATAGGGTTTTAGAAATCATACGTGAAGCGGTTAGTCTTTCGGTAGCCAGAGCGCTTTTTCAAACTTAACATTGATCATTATCTCAATTTTGTGCAACAAAAAAGTATTATTTTTATACCGTATTCATCTATAAATAAATTCAATAGTTTTTAATCCTTCTTCCATCATTTATTAGACGCTTAATTTTCTAGACCGAGCTTAAATGATACTACATCTCTTTACACTTTATTTCGATCTGGCAAAAGTTTAACAACCGATTTTTTTCCTGGCAAATTAATTCTGAGCTTTTAGATAGTTAAATAACATGCTATTAAAATTTCAGCTATACTAAAATAGTTTGAAAAAAAAAAAATTTTAATTCAAAATTGCCGCTTGGCACCGTTTAAACAACAATAAAAATACCTGGCAATAATCAATTTATGTTGTGAATAGTTCAATAAAAATAATAATAATAAAAAAAACCTTCTTAAAATGATTTGATATATTAATTTTTTACCTCCACAAGTACGATGCGCACTAATGAACGCAACCACTACCGGCAGCCAGATAGCCCGTAGGACGTCCAGGGGAGTGTGAGAGATAGCATATCTAAAAACTAGCCTACCTGAAATGCTTGTTCAAAAACGTTGCTAGCTCTTAGAATATAAGTTATGTTATCTCAAACTTTCTTCCGCTTGATCATATGAAAATGCTTTCTAAAATTAAATATTAATTCTTAGCTGCTCCACCGGGACACGTATGCTACAGCAACGAACACTGTCGATTATGGGAGAAAGAAAGTCACTGCGAATTTGTAATACCAAATTTATTTGGAAGATGCGCTTGTAACACGAACTTCAAACAAAACGGAGAAAAGTGCTTAGCTCAAAAGGGAACAGTCTTTGCTACTGAGGCAGTGATTCTTGAACAAGGCGCTTCTAAAACTGATATTACAATGGCATCGCCCTCTACTATTGAATTGTCGAATAAATCATCCAAATCGCCGAATAGTCCTAGCGCTGAAAGTTTATTTGGTAATCCTAATATCTCAGATTCGGATGAAATCAAGCCAAGTAATTTACCCATGTTCACAAGTAACAATGAAGTTCTAAGCACGCAAGAAGATAGTCCATTGATGCAAGCAGTCATGAAAGTCCCGACAGTGGAACCTAGTAAAAGACATCCAGTTTCAATAAGAAAGGATGAAGAATCAAATGAGCTAATAGGTGTAGACGAAATGACGGCTAATTTACATGCAAACGATCAACCTATATACAGAGTGGTGACACAACCATCTGTAGACAAAAAACCAAATAAGAAAGGGGGAGTCAAGGATCAAAATACTAGTAAAACTAATAAAAGTCAGAAGAAATCCTCATTAAAAGGTAAGAAAAAAGTGTACATAAATGATTAATCCAAATGTCATTGGCGGGAATATACATAGTAATTCAAAAGACCATTAAAAATTTTTCAACAGAATGTTTTGATCCCTTTTCAGTACAAAGAAATCAATACTTAGGGATTAATTTCGAAATATAATAATAAATACTGAAAATATAAATAAAATATTTCAGAGAAAAATCGTATCCGAGCTGATATAGTATCAACACCTGATCCAGGGCCAGCGTCATTGGGCATGTACTGTCTGTCGGACAGTCAATGTCAGCTTGTTGATCCGAATACAAGATGCTTGAACAAGAGATGCGATTGCACGTACCGAACTAATTCAACGTCTGCGTGCTCGGCGCGTAATCGAGGATGTCTGCCGGGTACATTCCAAGTAAGTATACAGGATATATATTATATATAATTTGTGTATTAAAAAAAAAGAAATGTGCTGTAGCTAGTCACATTATGTACTATGTATCTATCATCATAGTTAGTTTATTATAACAAAACACCAAAAAAACGATGAAGTTCATTCATTTCTGGTCATAGTATTTGAGAAAGTAAAATAAGGTAAAAAAATTAGACATTTCTTAAAAAAACTTTTCTTGAGTACTACTTATGATATATTTTGTTTTGTATTTTTTTTCTGAATGGCCATAAATTCTACTATAAGACATTTCAAGGTTATCCATTCTTTACTGGACACCCTGTATAATCACCACAATTATTAATTAGCCACTTCTAGGAAGGAAATTCCAAAAATTGTTACAATTAATTGTTAATTACATTTTTGTTAAAAATTTTCAGTGCCGTTCAACTGGTGCATGTATCAGCTGGTATTTCGTTTGCGACGGACGGAAAGATTGCCCCGATGGGTCGGACGAAAGGTGTCAAGGTACTGGTAAAGGTAATATCTATGCACCTTTTCCTTTCTTAGCACATAACTTTGTCTATTCCCAGTAACTTAGAAATAACGAAAAACTACTTTTGGTGTCAGTTTCATTTTAATGGTGGTATGGGTTACAAAAACTTATGACAGTTATAACCTAACTAAACGTATTAACATACATAAATTTTTATTCAATGAAATTTTAAATCACCTCTCACACCGTTACAGACAACACGGGCGAGCGTTGTCCGATGCACTCGTTCCGATGCGGCGGTCCTGGCAGCGCGTGCGTGTCAAGAGGAGCACGGTGTGACGGCATCCCTCAATGTGCTGGTGGCGAAGACGAGAGGAACTGTCGTGCTACTAAACGGAGAGGGTTAGATATTATATACAAAAAAAAAGATTATATCACAACACTCCTTAACCCCACACTTGTGTTACTCGAACACACACTTGTCGTCACAAATAATGTTATCAAGAATATAAATAAATATTTTCTTCGCATTGATATCCCTGTATATCACTCAATGAACGTTTTAAAAGGACTTAACGTTTTACTGCATTCCAGACGGCCATCCTAGAACGAATTGATATAAAAAAAAGCTTTTATATAGGCCGCGCGTTTTTAAAACAGGTACATGTATTCAATGAATGTATAGTAACAGTATCATTGCAGTTGTCCGCGACATACATTCCGCTGCGGCTCAGGCGAGTGTCTGCCCGAGTACGAGTTCTGTAACGCGATCATCTCGTGCAAGGACGGATCTGATGAACCGTCGCATCTATGTAACGAGCAGTCGCGGTGAGATATCAAAATACTCGTTCCACGTTTAGCTATAACACTTCTAGATATCAAACTATCCTCTATACTTTTTGTCTTATATTTTAAAACTACTCAAAATTCAGATTATACATATCATTTTAAAATTATTTATGGATATGTCTCCTAAGCTACATAAGAAATATATACTTTAATTCCTATCAATCACATTTTAGTATTTTTTATCATTTATATCTGCAGAATTGTTAAAAATAGTAATATCCATATACATATATTATATAGATGGCGTGCGGCAGACTTTTGTCCATTGCGGTGCGGCAATGGAAGGTGTAGGAGCACTGCAGTGGCTTGCTCCGGAAGAGACGGCTGTGGAGACAACAGTGATGAAATAGCCTGCTCTGTCTGCAGTGAGTATTGAAACACAAAAACATTTATGAGCAGCATAAATAGGAGGAACCAGAATGAAGGATGCGCCCGTTAGCAGTAGACTTCTATAAAAGTAGTAGGTTCAAAGATACATGACAAAAATCACCACGTAATCCTATTGCAATATCATGTGCTACATTAACATGATATCAGGGGGCTTTCTAGTCTTATCTCTTTACTTTATAATCTAAAAGATGTACATCTTATAAGTTATGTCCTAAAAATTATAAATGTTCCAGAGTTCAACCGAGGCATTGTGTATTCACAAAACATATGTCCAAACATGACCTCAATAATTTCGTAGACCCAAATACTTGATTTGTCACTCCGACCGTTATTTTAACAATAAGTATTCTAATAGCCATTACATTCTTATTTTTGTATTAACATAATTTGTAAGTGCTTTAAAATAAACTTTCCTATTAAACTTTTCACAGAATGTCCGGCACAACCTTCTCAAGCGTAAAATAACCAATTAGCATGAAGCAAACTGAAGAAACAACCAATTAGAAGACGTTAACATAGACGAGGGTCAATTTGTGCATTTGACTCCAAAATCCAATTTATAGTATGGCTTAAAAAAACAAAGCAATTATTTAGGTAATTTTTTAAATCGTTTAACATAATAGACTAAATCATAATAATATTTTAGTAAAAAAAATACAATACTGATATAGTATATTCCTTTTTCTTGCCTTCGAAATATTACATTCTGAAAATCTCTTTAGCCATACGTAATTCCTTTCCATACTTTTAAGTAGTTAAGCTGATGGACTATTTTAATTGAAACCTTTGATTAAAATTTATAAATGATTCAATTCTTACTACTCCGTTAATCTGAAAGTTTTTCATTTCTGTTACTGCAATCGTTTTCACATTTCGCAAGAAATAACGCCACATAATAAGACTGAATTAATGGGCTGATATTATTTTATTGCACCACTTTTATTAACACGAACAATTTAGAATATAATTTCAATGTAATAGCTGTATACAGATGTAATAAAAAAAATCTTTACATTTTTCTTTTCCGCGTTTGGTGGAGAATAAAAATAATGACGACATTTTTGAACATTATTTTTACGTGATTATTATTTTACATAGATATAATGACAGCACCAGATTTTAAACTGATAATATATTAAAAAAAAATGTGAAATGTTAGTAAACAAAATAGAATCCATGACAGATATAGTTTTTTTTAATAATTAAGTTAAGTGTGCTATGAGTGTAATTTATTGTAATATACTGTGTGAGTCTGAATGTGAATAAAAATATTTATAACAATAAATGTAGTTTTAAAAAAACACTGTCTTTCTTTGACCATAATATAACTTTATATACATTTTATGAATAACGTAGGTATGACAATGAAAAAACTTATCTTTTTTGACAGATTATAAGCAGATAAAATAAATTGTTGATTTTTAATTCCCTTTATTAACGAGTAAATACATATTATGACCTCTAGTTTTGATAGTATTTTATATTCAAAATTGTTTAAAATCTTAGTTACATTTATATTTTTTTTTGCATAAAAGTTCAATACCCTTCTTGTAAAGAAAACCGTTTCAGTTATCTTGGATACTAGCATAAACCGAAGAAAAAACAAGAAGATTAATGTAAAAATGCTTTTTTGGTGTCTAGCTTCCACGCTATTGTTTGGCTCATTCAATTCCAGTCAAAGAAATTTAAACATTTTAAAGGATAATTTAAATAATATACATTATGCATATATTAAAATATAGGTTTTGAATTTCGGTATATAACGTAATTTTCTATTGATTCTATTTAAAATGGATGAACAACTATTATGCATTAATCACCTAATATCTGTGTATGATTGATAATAATTTTGTCGTTATTTTAAATTCTATAATGGCAGTCGATACAAAACTTAGTAATAAACTTAATAGAGCTGATGTACCTACTATTGTTGAAAATTATTACCAAGAACATCATTTGAAATAAACCGAAGGTCATTACCTACTATAACTATTGTTTTATTATTATTTACTTCACTAGATATTGTGAGACTGCTTTACAAAAATATATATATTATTATATATATTTTTACTGTTATAATTAGTATTTTTCATCTCTTAGTTTAAAGTATAACTTTAACCAATATCAACAGTAGTGTTTAGAACACTTACTAGTTTTTACAAAATAATAAGAAATACCTCCATTATAATTTAAGAAATCATTTTGGTTCATTTAAATGAAACTAACTAACCGTGTTCACTGTTGCTAAAAAGCCGAAATGTCGGGAGTATGTGGTTTCTTACATAAATAAAGCAAGCTTAGTATATCCGAAAAACATTAGTTTTATTTAAATGACTTAAACTCGCGAAAGTCCTAAATCTCATTTATTGTGGTTGTCGATGTAGGTACATGGTATGTTCAAAGTCATAAACACTACAATGTACTTATTACTTTTTATATCCGCAGATATTGACAAAGCTAAATCGCACATGCGCTCTGTTCCCCTCATCATATTCCTCTGTAGACTGTATCCTGTTTATCAGACTTCTGATATCAATCTTGAAAGTGCCGTGTTGAGATAATACAATGTTTATTTATCTATTAACAAGTCTATAAAATACCACGGTAAGTTTTTTAGACAGCGTTTCATTCTATTTAGAAAGTATTATTTTTTTGATAAAATTATTCAAGCAAAGGATTTACATTATTAAATAAAACAGATAATGAAGATTTCAATAATATTATTTATTATAACCGCTTTAAAGATTTTCAATAAATTCTAATTTTAATGATATTGATTTCGTGAATCAGTCACACTCATTAAGATATACCATTATTAATAACCACCAGAGAGAATTATACTCCTATGTTTATTTATAGATAGGGTTTGTTTTCTTTTCCATTGCAATTGTATCAAAATTGTTCGTTTTCATCCATAACTATCGAACTTTTTTTTATTTCATATGAAAGTAAAACAATGAAATAATAATTTATTAAATTTTTTTATTAAATAAAACCTTATTCCTGTTTCTTACAATCTGTAATGATTCGAATGTCAATTGTTACGAAATAAATTGTCATCAGATTCACTTCTTATTATATTTTACCAAAAAAAAAATACAATATTTAAAAAAAAACAAACGAATCGTTACAAAATACGTGAAATAGTAGAGTACATATTCTTATCTCAAACTAATTTATAAAAATGAAAAAGATATAATAATATATAAAAAATATTTTTAACAATAACGAAATAATGCTGAAGTCTTACATAAATTGTCATAAAATTTTGAATAAATCTTGGTGTGCATATATATTCAGATTTGAATGCCACAATAGGCCAGTGCAGAAGCCTTTAAAATTAATGAAAAGTGAAAATAAATTATAGTAGCATGAATTTCATTAAAATAGGAGGGGAATATTATAAAAATTAAAGGAAAAATAATTTACGGGCGACCTGAGGTCAGGAAGGGTATTGGGATGGGTATTTAAGGTAAAAAATGGGTTTTCTCGATTTCTGGCAAAACTAAAAGTCCTACAGAAACGAGTTATATGGCAAAGTTGTAGGTAATAAAAAGATCTAAAACTTTTGTGTCAACATTTTTTTCACATAACTTCAAATTTTATGTGAAAAATTTAAAAAACCAAGTTTTTGTTTTTTTAATTTTATCTTTTCCAAAAAACAATTTTTTTCACGAAATTTGGTGAAAACTTTTCTTTTGATGTTTCAAATGCACTGTAATTTATTTCATTGGAAATATTTATTTTTTCAGCTTATATTATAAATGGTACTGTAAGTAAGAAACTTATATTTTTTTCCTTCACCATCGAAAAATAGAGATTTCTACAAATTTTCTATTTGTTGAAATCTCTATTTTTCATAAGAAATTTTTGAAAAAAGCTGATATTTCAACCTAAGCTAACCTTTCCATTGAAAATGAGGCTGATTTATCGATATTTATCCAATATAAGCTGAAAAAATAAATATATCTAATCAAATAAATTACGGTATGTTTGGGACATCAAAAGATAAGTTTTCAACAAATTTCATGACAAAACATTGTTTTTTAAAAGAGATAAAAATAAAAAACCAAAAAATTGGTTTTTCGAATTTTTCACATAAAATTTGAGGTAATGTGGAAAAAAATGTAAATACAAAAGTTTTAGATCTTTTGATTACCTACAACTTTGCCATATAACTTTTTTCCGTAGGACTTTTAGTTTTGTCGGAAATCGAGAAAACCCATTTTTTACACTTAAATACCCATCCCCATACCCTTCCCGACCTCGGATCGCCCGTAAATTATTTTTCCTTTAAGTTTTAAAATATTATCCTCCTTTTCTAATGAATTTAATGCTTCTATAATTTAATTATGTTTTAAAAGCTATCGGCACTGGTCTACAAGGATAGTTAATTCCTAAAAGTCACTATTTAACGAAGTAAACGTCTTATTTACCACTACAATTAATTATGTATAAAGGGAGAGTGTGGTGTATCACCTCTTTCTTAATTTAGTTACTAGCCGGTAAGCCAGTGAGATTCTAATGAAGAATGTGTCAACATATGGCATTAATAAAATAATGGAGATATAGACAACGATGTATTTAATTTCTTTATGTATATTTAATAGAGAGTAGCACTAAGTAACAAAAGGATATGTCTATTTATATAAATTATTTTAAAATTGGTAACAATTGATACTATTTACCCACCAGTGGAATGCGTAATCAACAGACTGGATATATGTTGGTGTCTAGACAAATTTTTGCATTGTTTTTTAGATGAGTGATTAGATTGGCCTATTGATTGCTTGTGGGACATAATACGTGACTGTTATGGGTGCATACACAAATATATGTACATGATTGATTTATTCACTACATTGAGGAATTTCAAGGTTTGTGTTTATAAGTCAATATACTAGACCAGTTTCGTTCTTAGAAACAAAAAAATCTCTGCACACGATTTCTTAATTATACAATTTATCTGTGTTAAATTCCAAGTTTATTTAAGTATTTTTTTAAAGGGTAGGTATACGAAGCTTTCGCTTCACGTATTCATATTACGATGATGATTTTTCCTTCTATATATCGTTCCTTCTATCCATTACCATTAAATAATCAAATCTTTATTCACTATGAAAATTGGGATAAAAATATAATATGTACATTAATATCATAATACTTCATAAACAAAATATTATTATTCGGCTGAGAATAATATTTTTGTTTGTTCGTCTCAAACAAATTTTAAACAACATTGGCTATTTGTTTACAGAGTTGATACTGAATCAGTACACATTCAATATTCAGTGCTAATGAAAATGAAAAAATATTAACTGGAGCAATGCTTGAAATATTTAAATTAAGACTATTTTGTAAAAGGTGAGAATAATTTTCTTTTAATTCCTTTTTTAATTGTTTTTCGATCACAGAAATATTTTTTTCAGACAAAATGTATTTATACTTTATTTCACTCATATACATATTCGTACATGCGTGCAGGCTTTTTGATATTTTTACTACTCCCATATTGATGAGCGTTTTTAAAAGTCTGATTTATATTTCTTTTTATTTTCGTGACTTTTACATTATAAAACTAATTACAAAAGACATCGATATCAATAGATACAAAGTAATAATTACATTATTATTTTATTTGAGCTTTTATAGTGAAGATATAGTAGAAAACCCTGTCGAAAACTTCAAGACATGAAGTGAAACTATTATTGTTTGAACTCCCTCGTCAGTTTTGTTATAGTCTTTTTTTTTTCAATGGCGTCCTTTATAAAGCTACAAAATGCATAAGAAGATCCCAAATAACATATTTTCAATTTCTAGTTTCATGATTTTGTAGCTTAACGATATTTTTTACAAACCTTACATCGTATACACCAAAAAAAATTATTTTCTCTTGAACTTTAATCTCAAAATATATATTTTTCTATTATTTTCCTTTATAAAGTAATATTTTATATAGCAAAATATTTTCGGAAATAATATTATGAACAAAAATGAAAATGGTTGATTTTACCAATTTTAATATATCTCTATTTTCAGAATAAAAAAACTTAACCGGATATGGAAAGTGAAGCCGGTAACAATAGTACTGACTATGGCAATAATTTATACATGTTTGTTCACACTAATTGTTTATCATATTTACCACATATCATTTGCTCAACATGATACCAAAAGAAATGATATAAACCAGCGAATATTAAGAAACCTACAAAACTACGACACTCCCATGAGGCATATACACAATAATGAAATTTACAAAGATTATTATACACATGAGGAGGACTCTCTCGAAATGGAGGAATCTAAACAAGGTAAACTTAACATCGATTAAGTGCGTCATAGCTCTTTATATCTCAAATCACTTTCTAATCAATTTTATTTTGATGCAATTAAAATAGCCGATAAATTTTTTATATGTTTATTATTATTATGAAACTCTTAAAATACATGAAATAAATTTTAATATGATGCTATATTATGTTATTTTTATATTTTATTTTACACAGTTTATATGATAAAAACTCCTGGTTGTTCTATACCTGTTGCTATGGTCAATTACAAAAATTATACAAGAAAAATTAAAAAAACGGGATGTGGAACACGACTTATATATATGACAAAAAATCGTGACGAGATCGTTCAAGCTACTATACGTCATGCAGAAATGATGAAATTGTTGAAGATGAATAAAAAATATGATTGCTGCTATAGATTTTTTCAGCAATCTAAAATTAAAGGAAATGAACTTTTAAATATTAAGTAAGTATATTCAAACTTTTATGATATTTATAGGTAGGAAGGAAGTTTACATTAAGGATTGACAAGAGGGAAATACGGACAAAATGACTTGGCGTTTGGTTTTCTAATCAAATTTACTTATTCAGTGTAGTCCTAATCAGTCTATGAATATCGTCTTCTGTGTTGCATAAGAAATTTAAGGTTAGCTGAATCGATGCTTTCAAATATATGTTTCATGATCAAAATTGTTTATTTTAAACAATCTTCTTTTTCTGCTAATGAACCCTTCATTCTGTTTTTTTACATATTTGTTGTAGGGAAAGTTAAGTTAATTGATAGGTTTTAATTTTCTTTTTCCTTAAGGGTACTTGATTTCAGACATCTAAACTGCATAGGATAGTTTTTCATCATTTAGCTGGCATATTATTTTATCTATAGTATAAGTTTGTAATGTTGCGCAAACATAACCAAAACGAAAATAAAAACCCAGTCCCAAATAATTACTTATACAATTATTTGAAATCACTGTCATATTACTTTGAATTCGGTTAAAATATCCTATTAGCAAACAACTTATTAAGAAGTAGATAAAAACCATCGGTAGAATCTACTTTTGTTTTGTTTTTGAAACTCGTTCGGACTGATTACCGTGACACGACTGAGTCAAGAACACAACATTACACAGAATTTTTAATATAGACACCGGTACTTAATAAAGTTTTGAAGACGTTACTAAACCGATGCCATGTTGAAATTTTGGCTATATGTTTTATTTCAACCATTTTCCCCTTATAGAACTTGAATAGGTACTAACAGGCCAACAAAAAAAAACCTAAGATTAAGATTACCTTATTTTTTCAGATACACATCATGCAAAAATTTAAGGAATAGAGATAAATTCAGATTAGAGAATGATTTTATTAATGTTCAGTGTTTTGAATATGATACACACAATAAGTCTAATCTCATTTATGAAGATAATTACGTATTTTGTAAAAGAATTACTTTAACTAACATAAAGAAAACTGTCAATAAAGATAAGTATAACGTGCTAATGATTGGAATGGATTCAATGTCCCTACCTCGTTTTGCTCAAACAATGACTCGTACAATCAATTACTTTAAAAATCGTAATTGGCAAAGTTATCGAGGATACAACAAGGTAGGTCTTAGTCATTAATCTTTAATTGAAACTGTTTTTAAAGATGACTATTCATTATGATCATTTTATTTAATCATACCCATTTCTATTTTCAGGTAGGAGACAACACATTACCGAATTTGATACCAGCATTGACAGGAAAACGTACCTCCGAAATTTTTAAAAATTGCTTAAGAAGAATGAATAGATGTAATAAATATTTCCTTTGGAGTTTATTTAAAAAATCTGGATACATAACAGCATATGGAGAAGATGATTTAGAATTGCCGGATACTTTTAGCAGAGAATTCAGTTTTAGAAAATCACCGACTGATCATTATATAAGACCATTTTTTCTGAATAGAGAGTATTATACAGACAATCGTTCCATTTTATGTTCTGGTAAAACAACTTCCGCGAAGCAGATACTGGATTTCGCTCACGATTTTGCTTTGACATATAGAAATGATTCTTTCTTTGGTTTCTTTTGGATAAATTCCTTTAGTCATAACATAAATAGTAATCCTCAAGATGCAGACGTATTATTTGAAAACTTTTTTAACAGACTTTTTTACACTGGAGTATTGGACAATACATTCATTGTTTTCATGAGTGATCATGGAATAAGATTTGGTAAACCTCGACTGCAGATAGAATCCTATTACGATAATAGAATGCCTTTTCTTTTCTTCTGGATCCCCAATGAATTTAGAATAAGATATCCGGAAAAACTGAAAGGATTATTGATCAATCAGTTCAGATTGATAACGCCTTACGATTTGTTCGCCACTCTTCAAGAGATAAATAACTTAGCTAACATTAATTTACTTATAAACCGAGACAACATAAGAGGCAATTACGATAATGGAATAGAAAGACAAAGCATGTTTAAAATTGTAAGTAATAACCGGACTTGCAAAGGTGTCGGTATTCATGAAAAATTTTGTACTTGTCACAAGCTGTTTCCCCTTGATGTAGCAGATGCGGAAGGAATTAAAAGTGTACAATATGTAGTCTCCTATATGAGAACAGCGTCAAAGACTATTAAAACTAAGCGTTGCTGGAGCTGTTCAGATATGTCAATACAAAATATAAGCAGAATTCATTTTTATTATGACAGTAACAAAATTAATTTGTACTATGTGGTAGCCTTTTCTATGAATCCTAAGAATACATTTTACGAAGCGGTTGTCTTACGTAATGATACGAGGTTGGCTCTCGTAGGAAACGTCAATCTAATTTCGCAGTACGATGGATTTGGAAGCTGTACCATGAAAAGAACGGACAAGATTTTTTGCATTTGCCAAAGAATTTATAATTGTCAAATATCTGTAACTTTATAATGGCTTGACTTCAGTCTTCGCTTTGTTAAATAGTACTGAAATCCCTTAATTGAAATTTTACTACTAATTATATAGTAGTTTAAGTATAGTTTTACTACTAATGTACCTCTAAGGGAAGAGAGTGGCGAGACATGGAGAGAAAATAAAGGTCAACGGTAATCGCATCGGTTACATTTTCCATTACTATGGACACATCTTTAACATACACGAAATAAATATCCTAAGAAAGGTCTGACAATACAAATATAAAAAATAAAAATATATCCATATTTTTACTCAGTCTAAAAGGCGATGAGAATGGTATGGAACACATATAATAAGAAAAAGTATACAAAAATAAGTAAAGTTAATAATACTGTTCTTTTTTTTTGTTTAAATTTTTATAATACTTTTTATATGTGGTTTGAACAGGTCGGAAGAATTTAAAAACATGATATAATAATTTAACTATTACATTTACTAAGATATGTATATTCTAACTTGGTTATCTAAGATTTATTTGTCACCAAATAATTTGTCTCGTCGATTTAATCCCCGTCTCACTGTCAACACGTACTTATAAATAAAAAGATAACTATCTATAGTTAGCTATAGAACTGTTAAGTGAAAAATAAGGATAATTAATTTTACCGAAACAAATTTTAAAAATCTGTGATATTATAAATAGAATAAGAGACTTTAGAATTTATAACTATTATTATTTAATGCAATAAGTTATTTTATATATTCTCGAGTGGTTGCGATTTCGTATAATAAAAGTCCTATAAGATATGACATTTATTTGAATGGCTCTGTGAAAATTTGATCTGTAGAAAATATTTATATAAGTATGTCTTTTGGTATTGAGTTGCAAATTATTGTCTTCGAACTACAAGTTTAATTATACAGTGTTAAATTCCAATGGTATTTGATTTCGTATGTCAGTTGGTTTCGAAGTTGTTAGTGTAAAATTTATCCTTTGAAATGAATATCTATCTATACGGACATAATAAAATATATATTATATAGTTTGAACTGCAAAAACTATGTTTTTTCAAATTTGAAGTTAAAATTAACTTTGGATACATTAAATTCATATTGTTTGAACGAATTCATATTGATTGTTAAAATACATTTAAGGTCTGGGAATAATTCAGGAAATTTAAACACAAGTTTTAAACTATTTAACTATGTGAATTTATAAAATGACTATATAGAAAAGTAAAAATTGTATTTAATGTATGCAAGATCAAACAAAGCGAATGTTTAAAACAAAGAATCGCTTAAATTTTTCTTCAAAGGCATTTGAAAGCATTAAAAGGAAAAAAAATTTTTACAATTTTAACTATTTGTTGTGTTTAAAAAATAATATTTCAAATACTTCTTAAAAAGCACAAATCTATACATATAATAAAATCGTAGAAAAGTGCTGTCTGTACATTAAAAATAAAAATAAAAAAATAGCAGGGGTTATTGTTATGTCGATGTCGAACCCAAAAATGTAATTAACTTTTTTTTTGTCTGTTTGTCTGTTCACGCTAATCTCAGAAACGGCTCATCCGAGTTGGATGCGGTTTTCACAAATATATTGTGGTATGCTTCAGTTATGCTATAGTGTTTGTTTCATGTCAATCGGTTCATAAATAAAAAAGTTATGTCAAATTAAAGAATCACGTCAAACACTATTCTATGCTTATATGTACATACATAACTAAATGAACTACCCAAAATGACTGTGATTATGATCCAAAATAAAAATAAGTATATATTTAAAAAAAACGCTGCTCATAGTCACTATTCCACTCGAACGAAGTCGCGGGCACAGCTAGTAATAGATATATAAAGAATACAGTGCCGATTAATCCTAAAATAACCTAATCAACTAACATTACTTGAAAATACCGAGCTCTTGTGTCAAATGTATCTACGTATTGAATGTTTTGGGATTTATTCAATTCTCTTATTTATGGAAATAAACTCCTTAAGGATTTGCAGAAAAGTATACACAGAAAGTCATGTGAAAAAAATGTCCACCTATTTTCAGAATTATTAAATAACGTCGAATAAATATGTAAGAATAAAGGATAGCTTTTTCGTGAAATTATCCAATTATAAATAACTACTTATAAGGAATGTCTGACAATAATTCTTATTATTTATCATATCCCAATAACAATTTCCGAAGTTTTTCGTATTCTACTCTGGATGCCACGAGAATTCCAAAACTTTATCTTGAGGTCTTGTGGTGTTGTCACGGACATGGGATTTTACATATTTGATGAGTGAACTCCAGGCACTATAGGTGCCATCGATCTTCTCCATTGAAATAAGGATGGGATAGCCTCACAGAATAATCTTCGTATGTACTCATATTCGAACGAGGGAGTATCAAAGTATGAGTATTTGTCAAACAGTTTGTAGTGGCTTGGTTTGTTCATTACGTGTTCACACACTGCTGATTTCGACACCGTAAAGAATATAACTCAGACATTTTAAAAAGGATTTTAAAGGAACAAAATAGATAGGAAACAAAATTGTACTATATATTATACGTGCAAAGTACTCATGACACATATGAGAAAGTAAGACAAAAGCAAAGCAAATTTGGTGTGTACACCATCTAGTGTTGACTATAGTTATTACTGCTGTCCACAATCAAAATCTGTATCCGTATACCTACATATATATTAAAAAATTCTTTCTCATGGCCCGAAAAGTAGTTACTACTAAGTCAACACTAAACTAAAGAAACCAATAATTTGTTTTTGTTCTCTTATATTAATAGTGAACATCGTCTACATCGTGATGGAAGAAATTTAATTAAGTGAATATAGTAACAAATATCCAAAAAAAAAAATCCTAACAATACTTTTTAAAAATAGCGACTGCAAAATATAAAATAATCAACACTAGTTCTTGATAGACTAATGAGAATTGTGACCTAAAATTTAAAATAGTCGAAGATAAAACAAGCCGTTTTCTAATTGATTCCTTTATGCAACGATGGACATTAATGGTATTTATACCACCCAAGAACCAAATTTTTGGTGAATGTTGTCTGGTATAGTTCTGACTGCTGATAATAGATGGCGCTGTTTCACATGGCCTCGCTAAAATCACAGTAACAAAATTTTGAACGTAGAAAATATTAGATACTGTTTAAAATACCGCTGGATGTTACGAAAAACTTTTTATAACATTGCAATTGCTTAATTTTGCTTGGTTTAAATATAATAAGGCCCCTTAATAAAAATTCACGCTCAGGGTGAGCGTGATTTAATACGCGTAAAGTGAAAAATTACTTTCCTGAAGTGTCTTCAAAACAATGTTCTTTTGTTGAGTGATGTTTGATTTAATGTGACCGGTGGATTACCAGTTATTGAGTTAACTATCGTGATTACGGGTTTTAAAGATGAAATTAGTTCTTTACTTTTCGCGCTTGTGGTTTTCACATTTTAATAATGTCGTTTTGTAGTTTGAATTGATTGGAGTTAATAGTGTTAAATATTAAAATTGTGCAACCATTCTTTGAATTGGACCCATAACATTAAACTAATAAGTTTCCCCATAGCATATTTACATGTTATCATAGACATTACACATACAGTAACCTCGAGTCACAATAGCTGGACGTAACACACCCTTTTGTTAGAAGTGCTGTGTAAAATAATATTTTGTATTGATATTTGAAACTCAGTTTCATATTATAAACGGTAAGCATTCAATATATTTATAACGAAAATTAATAAAATTTTAGAATATAAACAATACAATATAATGAATTGTCAAAATAAATAAATACTTAAAAAAAACTTTAATTTTATATATCAAAAAATTTTTTAAGTGAAATTACTAGTTATTTTACACGTAATACACACATGTAGAGAGATATTTAGTAATTTTATGTATTATGTGTGTGCTGGTAATGAATTGATAAATTATATGAAGTAAAAATGTAAATATACAATCTTGACCTACATTTGGAAGGCGCGGAAATTATGTAACTGGTCTAGTAGGCACCTTCGATGCATCTGACTACGTTAAGGAGAAGAGTCTCGTTTAATTCAATAGAATACTCGTAATTCTGTTCATTCTAAGAACTACATTCAAATAGAGACAATACGTTTAATAAGGATATGCAATTATAAATTAATTTAAAGTTTTTATTGTTCGAACAAATATATTTTAATATAATGCTTATCAACTATCCTAGTTGGACATAAACATATCTATTTCTAATCGTAGCTGTTTCCCGTGTTTTGTAACACAATTAACTAGTAAATAAAGGTCATTCCTGTTATTCTATTCATACGAAAAATGTTATAGGTTTGATATACTTTCATTCAAAAAGTATTGAACATTTTTAAAAAAAAGGCATGATAGTAAAAATATCACACAGAACAAAAAGACTAATTCGTACGTCTTTTAATGTTTATGTTACTATTAAGGACGATGTATGAAGTACTATGTACTTTCAAACTGTTGGTCTCTAGTTAAACTCGTACTACGGACACTGAATACATTATGGGGAGCTAATAAAGTTTCAAGGTTTTTCTTTCATAAACGGTTATGTCTGTACACATAAAGACACTAGAGTAAATCTACATAAAAATAGACAGAGTAGCGTTTTTTAATATGGTAATTAAAAATAAAAACTTTTCAAGTGCAGTATAAATACATAAGTCTAAACATTGGTAGCCAACTGTGATCAAATTTAATTTTCTAAATGTATTAACATAATTTATTTAATTTTAACATAATTTTATATTTATAAACGTGTCTAATTATTATTTTACATACACTCTTTTTCAACATATAGGTACTATGTTTTCTTCAGTTATATTAAACTTTAGGTAAGTATTTATAGCATTTTTATAGGTCATAACTATATTCCTTCATTCATTTTCAGATTTTATATAAAGGTACATCAAAATGCATTATCCCAATATAGTATGTTTAAAAATAGTACTTATGGCTGCCCTACTGTTCGTATTATATACTACATACTATAAAATGACTACGTATCCAGACTTACTGATGGATGAAATAAAATTGCAACAAAATTTGTCTTTTTATCAATACGGTAAGGCAATTACATACTAATAATGTTTATCAATCTACTTAAATTAAGCAATAATATAAGGTTTAAGCTACATCGTACTCCTTAAATATTTCAATTTCTGTTTTCATAAAACTTTTAAGAAGTCTTACAAGGGTAAATAATAAATTACTAACACTTAAATATAGAGTTTTTTTAACTAGGCTTATGATTACATATTAAAATGTACGTTCCATTTAATTAGTTAAATGCTGAAACATTACGTAATAATAACAATAATGGAACCTAACCCTAATCATAGGCTGACATAATTCCGTTACAAAATATTAAATATCTAAGCTTTATGTAGCGTGTAGCCAAATTTTATATGATACTGTAAAAGGAGTATTTTAGTACTCTATAACAAGACCTTGAATTTTATCGCACAGTAAAACTAGACGGAGATCAATTGTAGTCATCATGATGTTGTTGTAGTGTCATCTTACGACAGGCAAGGTCAAATACACTCAGTCAAATCTGAAAAATTAATACCAGTTCCTGTTATTCGTTCAAACGATAACCATTTCAAATTTTTGTATTGATCAAACAAAACTCTTGCCAAAGAAGTGTTCTGTAAGAATTACAACAGGTCAATGAACCCTTGTTCTAAATTTGTTTTGTCAACATAGATACTTAGCTTTCATTCATAGATCTTCGCACATGATAGTTTCAAGGATTGATAAACTTTGAATATTTTCCGAAAAAATGCTGTCATTAACATTATGAACACCATAGAAAAAAAAATCTATCGAATAAATTCCGATGCAGCCCTCAAAACTTAGGCAACAACTGAATAAATATAATAGCCAAAGTAGGTTACTAAAAAGAGCTGCTTAAACATTAAATTGAGAAGGTTTACTGTTTAAGCAGCTTTTAAGAGGATTTTCATATAAATTTTCTCGTTCATTATGTTACCATAATAAATTCTACAGATGCTAGGGACTATTTAATCCACACCCCGGGTTGTTCGATCCCTGATTATTCAAAGACATATAATATCATAGAAGCAGAAGACTTGAAAAAATCTTGCGGCACAAGAATAGTTTTTGTAAAGAAGAAAACTGAAAGTATAGTAATCTTTACAATAAATAAAGACAATATGAATTGTTGTTATCAGTTCGTGTCTCCGTCAATAACTAACAATAAAATAGATGTCAGGAAGTTAAGGTAAAAAGTAAGAAAAAACTTTATCTTATATTTATAATCCTTGCCCAAAAGTAAATGAGTCCATTCGGAAAAAAAGTAAAAAAAAGTAATTCTAAAATTAATTTCTTACCTCTTCACGAGCTTGCGAATTTTCGTTACATCTTTTTAAGGCTAAAGGATATTACTATCTGCCAAAAATATTTAACTAGACTTGATGACTAATGCATGGTTGTATATCTTGCAGGTATTCAAGTTGCACACCTTTTAAAAATGGCACCGAAACTGAACTCGAGGAAGAAGTCATCTTGGTGACTTGTAAGCCTATAAAATCAACAAACAGACATAAAAATAAAAATAAAACTATTTACAAAGATGCATACGCGTTTGTTATAAAAAATAACAGAAGCAATGAAATAATCAGCGACCACAAAAAATGGAACGTCCTAATTTTAGGTATGGATACCATGTCAAGAGCTCGATTCTACACAAGCATGCCAAAAACAGCAAAATACTTTCAGAAACATAAATGGTTGGATTTCAGCGGGTACCAAAAGGTTAATCAAATTTTATACTTTTTTCTCTGCTTTCTAAGCAAATAAAATGTTTATTATAAATTATATTTCACTATCGTATCATTCTATGTGTAATATATTTCTTTAATTAGGTAGGGTACAACACGTTTCCAAATATGATGGCTCTACTCACTGGAAAGAATATGTCAACGGTATATAAAACATGTTCTTCAGGTATGGACCATTGTAATGATATGATAATATGGTCAGATTTTAAAAAAGCTGGCTACATAACTGCTACTGGAGAAGACAATTTACGACTACCTGACACATTTTCAAAATACGGCTACGTGTCTGCGCCTACAGATCACTACTTGAGACCGCTCTTTCTGACGGGGGAAGATACAATTGGAAACCTTGTTTGTACTGAAAAACTATCGTCAGTTAAGCATATTCTAGATTATGCCATAGACTTCGTTAATTCTTATAGCAATCAAAAATCTTTTGGAATGTTTTGGACTAACTCATACAGCCACAATTTAAATAATATCCCATCTCTGATAGATCAAGATTTAGTGAGTTCCTTCCAAAAAATGTACAAATCTGAGAGTTTGAGAAATACTTTTATATTTTTTCTAAGTGATCATGGCATACGATATGGTAAGTCAAGAATTCCATATGAATCGTATTATGAAGAACGGTTGCCAATGTTATTCTTACGAGTTCCTGAGGAATTCAGAAAAAAATATGTGAAAGAATATATGAATATGCAAATTAATCAGAAAAGAATGGTAACAGCATACGACTTGTATCTTACATTTTGGAATATTCTTGAAAACTCTACCACTAGTGACATAATAGATACTTGCCGAAGCTGTTTAAGTATATTCAATGAAATTTCCCCACATCGAACTTGCGCTGATGCTGGTGTTCATGATAAATGGTGCACTTGCCACAAATTAAATTCAATAAATAAAAGTGACTCTGACGTAACGCGTTGCATAAAATTAACTGAGGAATATCTACAAAATGTAATAAAAGGAATCAAAACTATAGATTGCAATAAATGCGAAAGTTTAAAAATAAAATCAGTCCTAAGAACACATACGTATAATGATGAAATAAGGAACAATACTTTTTTTGTGGTGGCATTTACTACTACTCCTGGTGATGTGGGATACGAAGCGGTAATTCTGAAACATAAAAATGAATTCACAGTGTTCCCGATTGAAACTATAACAGCCTACAATACTAGAGGTAGTTGTGTTAAAAACCCTAACGATAGAGCATTCTGTGTATGTAAGACAAGTTGTTGAAAAATATAAAAATTAATCAGTATCTTTCCTTTATTTTCTATTAACTGGTCCACGCCAAAATAAAAAAAAATCGCTAATGAATTGATTTATATGTATGATATTGAATATATATGATTTTATTAAATTGATATTAAAATCTATTCTGCAATTTTAATAACATCATTGATTTTTCTAAAATTTCTTACTAATGGATACGCTTTTTATGTACATTAAAATCATCGATTTTGTACGTGTTACATATGTTGATAATGATAACTGAGTGAAAATATAAAAAAAAGAATTACAACTTACAGCATAATATCATTGAGGGTTAATTGAATGAGATTAGGTTTCATCAATTAGGTAGGTACCTGTTTAGAACGATGCTAAGTAATGACCTTATTTGATACAGTAATAATGGAAGAGTAAAATATATTATATAATTAGTTTTTTTACATAAAATTTTAAAGTACAATTTTTATGTTATATTACTATTAAACTTTAGCCCTTTAGCCCAGCAGCTAGATCATTAACCTGACATGTTAATTTTTGTTGTTATTTTAGTTTACGTGTTACAATTTTTTGCTTCACTGCGTTAAGGCCCATATCCTGCAGTATATATTTGTTCTGGATGCATTTAGGAATGTCGAACATCGGTCCCATAGCTTTAGGCTGATTTCCAATATTTCATAGAAAATTGTCTAAATCTTATTTGGTCAACCAACGTTGTAAATGTCTACATAATATACTATTCATTAGTATACATAAAAAGTCAATATTTTTAAGAATTCTTGCTAAGGTCCCTTTTTAAAAACGAAATATATATATCGTAAACTGATACAATTTAACAACGAGAAGAACAAATATTAATTTCAGTATGTTTCTTTTTCATTTGGTTTTATAATTTTTCAAATAAAATATGATGGTGTAAGTCTCCAAACACAAAAACGATGTATTTATATTTAATTATAATATAAAATGTTTATAAACTTTTTTTAGGATATGAAAATTCTAGACCTTAGATTTTGGCATTTTTTTTATACCTTTAGACAGGAGCCAATATTGATTATTCAAGCTTTAGTGGATCATTTGTAAAAAGCACAATTTTATTATACAAAATACAATCTAAATAGAAATGTTTTTTCTGGTTAAGCCTGGTAAGCCTGGACTGCTTTCGTGATGAATGCTTTTTATACTTACAGCTTTTTTTGTTGAGTTTGGTTTTAATGAGATATTTTGTCAAAAAATGATAATGTTAATCCTGCGTATTCGTTTATTTGTTTGTTTGTTTTCGTACAAAATGTCTTGCGAAAAAAAAATCATAATAATGTTTCTCATTTCTTCATTTATATTGATGGTTTGATAAATAGACAATTTTTTTGTCTGTACTGCAGTTTAGATGTGAAAAGAGGGTTATCTTGACCCTTTAGGATTAATATCCATTATTATTTAATATAATATGTATAATAAGAGTGAGAAATATCTTTAGAACTAACTCTTATTATACATAGCTACAGATGAAATTTGCCACTTCGTCAGAGCATATTTCATAAGGAATTATTTATAAAGAATGATGAATGTTGAAAGAAAGGCAAAAAAATAACCCTACGAATAATTTCCAATGGGAACTCAAATATGTATATCTAATTGCTATTTAAATTTGTTTTGACATCATAATTAGTTTTGATTAAATCTTGTTGAGAATTAAATTCCTTCAAAGCAATAAAATGTTATTAATCAATGTAAATTAAAAAATATTATGTATACATTTTTGTATTTTGCATAAATTTTGAATATATGATACCAAACTTTTAAACAATAAATGTAATAAATTCTATATTACATTTCAATCTTATCGAGTCTTGACTCATCAAGTCTAATTTTTAGGAATATTATTGAAACATGCAACATTTAAGGAAATGTATAAATAAATTATTACAGGCTAAAGTTTTATTATACATTTCTGATTATTTATATAAGTAGTATTTTCTTTGACAAATATTGTCACTTTTGTGTAATTCAATAAAAAAGGAAATTTCTAATTACGATTTATTTTATTAAATAGATTCTTACAAGATCTTTAACTTGTAACTTTAAATTAAAATGAAATCGGAGACAGAACATCAATTCCTTTCTAAGCGTTTTACAAGAATATTCGAGTGCCTTTTCCATTTCTACTCAGATATTTAAAGTTTTAAATAATTTAAGTAGTAACTCAAAATAGGATAAAGATCCAAGAAACTGGTCAAGCTAAATTTATCAGTATCATTCATTTACAAGATTGTACGAAGAGAGCTTCTAAAATTCACATTTTTACGAGAAACACAAAATTTTGAAGGCTGTAGGACTAGATCTTTACTAAAAGGATATACTGATAAAGCTGATAGCTTGATTACGGCTGCGTCAGTTAAATTTATTTAGATTATCCCTAGACCAAGTATTGCAAGTCTAACTGGACATAGTTATAATGATAAAAGTATGGAAGAAGCTAGTATTACTTTTTTTTTATAAAATGTTGCCATTTCTTTTGTACCAAATGGTATTGAACAGATAAGACTCAATGATGTCTCGAACAAGAAATTTGAAGAATTAAAGATTTTTTTAATTCACATGACATAAGACTAAAATTACTAAGTTTTCGAAGTCATTTTTTTATTCATATCTGTTAATCCACACTAAATGACTCGTTATATCAACCAAAACTTTTTAACTAATATAAAATAATGCAATACATTTCAAATTCACTATTAGTCTCGTAATATATGTATAATGAGACGAATAGTATTATACCCTTTCAATATACATCTGTGTAGGGTTACCAAATTATTATTTTTTAAGTTATTTATTTACAGTTTTACTGTACCCTAGTGTTGTCGAATGATTGATAACTTAATCCACTTACTATGAAAAAAGCAAAAAAAACAAATATATCGATCGAATATCAACTAAGTTTACTTGATTCCTTCTTATTGTTATATATTTTTTAGTTAATAATGAAAACATTAAAATGTATAAATGTATTATTACATTTCTTACAAAGGTTAATGAATGTGTAGTACACAGATTGTTTCATTTATTTATTTTATGATTATTAATTATAATAACTATAAGTAATATTATTAAGTTAAAAAGATATTTACTAAGACTAGGTGGGTGATATACAGCCCGTATCATAACAGAATAATTGACTGAGTGGAAATACTGCGCATAATACTTTCACAATATTCAGATTTCAAGTTAAGAGTTCTACACTTATGTTTAACGCTTACATACATTATGACATCACCAACCATACGACGTTGTCTTAATGATGTCAACATATAATATCCATGAATGTTATATAATTGAGGGCCATGAAGTGTCCGTCATAAACATCAAACTACTATTTAAATTTGCAGCTCTAGGAAGTGGCAATCGCTTCCTGAATCAAAATTGTAAATTGTTCTATTGTCTAGATATTTTTTGTTACTTTTATATCCACTACTTAACACCATCATAATTAATAAAATGAATATATTTAAATTAAAAAAAATACTAACAATAGGGATTAACGTAATGCTGATCATCAAAGTTTTGATAAATAGTCTTCGAGTTCGTAAGGATAATTTCCGTTTGACGCTATACAACTAATAGCACTTTCTGTATAGTTGTTGAGTTAAAAATATTAATATGGAATAATAATGTAGAAGATTCTTCAAAATATTAAGTGTACTACCTATAACCTAGATAACCTACCGCGTACAAATCTACTACGAACCTATTTCGAGTGAGTTCGTTTGTGAGCTCGTAATATTTGTTGACCTTGATGGTATGGTCTTTGGGGATGTTGGTTTCCCAAGGGACCGTAAGCTCTATCATCACTACGCGCTTTAAAATTCGCGAAAACAAAAATATATCCGGTCTGGAGGCCGACGCACAAACATCCTCGGGGATTTTATATTGTTTTTCATACGTGTCCATCATTATAGTCCAATCCGACGCCGCTTTAAGGATGGAGTAAGGCTTGACGTTTGATTTTGTAGCCCTAGTGCCTTCTCTCACAAAACCTACTGATCGTTTGTGGTTATTCCCTTTTGCGCTCTGGCTACCGAAAGACTAACCGCTTCACGTATGACTTCTAGAACCCTATCGTGACGACGCGAGTATTGACCGCTGTCAAGGAGTACCTTACATCCCTCCAGCAGATGCTTAGCAGTTCCAACTGCCTTTCCACAGATATAGCAAGTTTTTTCGGTACTTTTACCCCATCTTATTAAATTACTCTGATCTGGGAGAGTCATCTGGAACGCATTGAGATAGAATTTTAGCAATGTTGGCGACCAATCATAAATTAAAGTGCGCCATTTTAATGCTAACAGGATGCAAAAATCTCCTATGTCTAACCACTCGTTCTGCATTTCTAAATTCATTGCATGGATCTTATATTTATCATTCTCGTCTTGCCGAATAAAAGACTTCAATATATCCGCATCTTGGACTTTCCTATTTGATCCTAACCCCTCTCTGTTACTTTGCGCTCCTATCATAAATTGCTTATGGAATTGAAGTCGTGACTCTAGCTCGGGGGCATCTTCATCTTTTGGGAGCGATGTCACTATGTCATCATGGGATTTCCCCAGGATATATCTCTTGGTAACTCTTAGGTGTTTATAGAGCTCCGATGGCCTTTTTAGACTCATCCCAAAACTATTGCTTCCCCTAAATAACGCCGATGAATCAGCCGTTAGAGCGAGCCCGAGCCACAACTTCAACATCTTTATGACGCCTGCATCTAACTTTGACAAAAGGGTTTTATTAAAATCATAGACGAGGAAAGGCCAATTCAAACGTGAAGTTAAGTAATTCTCGTAGATCCACGCTTTTTTGACGTTACTTTTCAGTTGGCTATCTACCTTGTTAAGATCGTTCAAAAAGCTATCTACTATTCCTTCTAAAGATGGAGTACGGCCTATATTATCTATCTTACGACCGAGAAATTTAAATGGTGCATTTTCCGTAACCGTAGAAATGCATTGACCGCCTAACGATAGTCCCGGATCGTATGAGGTGTATCTTGTATTCCGCCTACCAAGACACAGACAGTGACATTTACTGGGTTTTGTCCTCAATCCATCCGTCCACTCACAGAATTTATCCACTTCATCCAGTAGTACCTGACAGTGTTTGGGGTTACGTGTCAGTATTGCGAGATCGTCAGCGAAGGCTAAAATGGATTCCGTGTATTTATTATTAAACTTAAACCGATAACCCCATTTTTTCTCGTTACAGATTAATTTGTCTACTAAGATGTTAATTACGATATTAAACGCAATTGGAGATAGACAACAACCTTGAAACAGTCCTACATTATAACTCAAACTTTTTGAAGGGCCTTCTTTAGTTATTATAGAAAACCTTAATTTTGAGTAATACGACGCGATCATATCTCTAACTAGGGGTGGAAAGTTGTACCATCTAAGCGCGAATAGCATCAATTCGTGTTGCATCGACCCGAACGCGTTCTCCAAGTCTATCCAACAAACAGTGATTTGCCGCTCGCTTTTTCTAGCGATATATCTTATAACCCATGGAATAATTTGTAAATAATGTTTAGTGTCTTTTACCTGTCTGTGAATAAAAATAGTGTTATTTTTTATCAGCTTTTTGCCATATATCAAATTTCTTTCTGTCTTGAGACCTATGAGAGTGTATAAATGTTCATACAACAATACAATAATTATTCCTAAACTATGCAAAATTTAATAGTTTTGTTTTAGAATATGATAAGCCATACATTAATTGAATGAGTGTTTAAAGGCACAGACTAAATAAAAAAGTTAATAAAATATATACCATGTACCCTGTAAGCTCAGTAAATATTCCATTGTTTTTCAAATTCTTAACTTATATAAAAATAATTTTATTAGTACTTATAAGTCAATAGGTTTTAGGGACCCTTTGCCATTTTTGTTATTGTAAGAAAAGAATTACTGAAATGTCAATCTCCTTACATATATTTTATTAATAATCAATTTTATATTACAAATAATGAGGTTCCACACAAATTTCAATATACAATATATTATCTCTTGCTAACTTTTATTTGTTATTAAATCATTTATTTTAAATTAACCTATATAATTGAAACATGAGACAGCACAACTTTGTACATGATAATACTAAAAATTCATTTAGAATTGTATATATTTAAAATAAAAATATTTTTCAAATACTTTACAACTCCTACTAAATCATATTTAAAAATAAAATAAATGAAAATAAAATACATTCAACACAATGTTGGTATTGTCTTTAAGCCTCCGTCATTTTTGATAACAAAGGTGTTTGTGGCACACTCGGGTAGAGAATAAATAGTGACAATTGTGCCACAGCCAAAGAAGCACCAATGAAGTTGGGAATCTAAAACATAAACAGTATTATATAATTAATTATAAATTAATTCTAGAAGCTGAATTTATTATAAACTTAATAACTGTGATGAATAAATGCAATATTATTTTTTCTATTTATAAATCATACCCTGTATATAAGAAAAATGTAAATATACCACAGTAAGGCCAAATTAAGCTATCTTCCGTACATTTCAAGGTTCACATGGTCGTTACTTAAATTTCATAAGCAAATTAAAAATCTAATTACCGATAAAAATATATCCTTTACTATAAGACCATAGATAAACCATAGACTAGAGACAATAAATGACATAAAAATCATTGGGAATGGAAGGCAATCAGTGCATTTTGTTCTAATGACATAAAATAACTTGCTCATTGGTGCACTTATTGTTAACAATGTTAACAAGCAAGCAGAAAAACCTGGAAAAAATAAAACATAAATTGACAATAAATATTTGTTATTTTATATGTGAAAAATTTAATAAAAATCATACAAACCTAATCTAAGCAGTAGAATTTCATTATCAATTTCAGTAGACATATAAACAATCATTACTAGATATAATATTATTGCGACTAGAGACTGTTTTAATACTGATGTCTTCTTAAAAGTGTAAACATAGAATACTATACTGTATAAGAACATCAATAAAACACCAACAATATTCACTGTTATTATTTTACTATCAGGCTTACATATCCCATATAAAAGCCATAAACCAGAACTGAAAATAAGTCATTGGAAATTAAACAATTAGAATACAACTTTTTTATATATCTTTCAAACCATATGGTCGAAAGATTTCAAAAATCCACATATATAATTACTTACGACAGAAAACCGCAAATAAATGGTAATGGTGAAGCTTCCGCTGTTGTGCGATTAATTACATACTGTCGACAAACCAATCTAAAGTAAAGAAAAAATTACAGTTCTATTAAAAAAGTTAAAACATCAGAAATTAATAAAAAAAAGTGTAATATTTCGTACATCCCCGACAAGAATTGTAGTATTGTTGTTATAACAGCCAAATTGGCAACGAATTCATTTAAATTTGTTAAAAGCATTGTCTAGGATGTGTGACCTAACAGACTTATGTGTTCCAAATTATTGGAAGCCTCAATAGAATAAAATTCATTTCGATGTATGCAAACGGAGCTTATAAGCCAAATATTTATAAAACAATTGAGCGCTGGCAGTTGGCACACGTATCTAACATGTCATTTGACAAATGATTTCTATCAAAAAGTGTCAGTAATCAGTTTTAAAATAAACATAACTGTTTAAAAATTGGTCATTTTTCTTGAGCCACCAAAAACTGATGATAACACATATCAGTAAGACTTTAGGTGTTTTAAATCCTTATCTTTTTTATTTAGATAAAATAGTAACTTAACTCCTAACAACCCTTTTCCCTTACTAAAGTTAGCACAATTGAATTCTCAAAAATATTTAAATGGTTTGCATTTCATATAATTTGTATATTAATATTATACAAAAATATCATTCCTAAACCCTTAAAAATTGAAAGATCCCGAATATTTTTTACTCTGTTAAAGTAATTTTTTAAACATTTTAAATTTCTTAAATATTTATTTTGCGATGATAATAAATAAACTAAAAAGTCACTTCACATTAGGATAAAATTTGCAATAATTTATTGACTGTTTAATTTTATCACCTGGGACCACCACGTGATAAAATTAATTTGATAAAAATTAAATAAAAAAGTGGTATATGAAAATTATTACATATAATTTATTTTATAATTATGCAGAATTAATAAAATACGTTACTTTTTGTTTTTGCAATTAATAATCAATATCATTTGTGAATAATTATATGTAAAAGTATAGTACACAAAGAAAAAATTGTAACAATAATAACAAACACTTACGTAATCCTTTGTTTCCTTCTAAAACATTGATATATCTATTAGTAAATGTTCTTGTATAGTTTATTTTAATAGGCTACTCGTACACGATACAGCATTCATGTGGGTCCCAAGATTTATTTTAAGGCTCTTCTGAAAATTCAAAATAGTATAAATAACACTGTTAAATTATTCTGGTAGAACTTTGATGTTGAGATGTAAAACATTATTCTTCACAGTTTGTATTTTTAGAACACTTTCTTCGGATATTGACAATGAAAGTAATATATTGTACTTTAGTTGATTCAATACATTTAAATTATCAAAATCAGGTATGACAGTAAAGCGGTCACAAATAAACTGGATATAATTGAAAAAATGTATATTTCCTATATATGGAGGGTACACTAATACGGACAATAACAATAACGAAGTTCACGTCATTGAAACAGTTTTTATATACCTACCTAAACTAAAATTTATTTACCCCTTTTTCCTTTCTGTATAAAATGTTAAGTAAAAAATATAGTTCCCTAGAAAAATAGGGGCATTAACTAAACTGTATAATCTGGTGTTCGTTGCTTTTTTTATCAGAGAAAAGCTTTAAAAAAAAGTGCAGCTGTCACAGAAGTTTGAAGTTTCAATTGACCAAAGCCAAACAAATATTTTGTATTGTTTGAGATTAATGTGGTTTAAAAATTAAGGCACATTAAACATCAGCCTTGGACTTGTAGGAACCATGAACACACTCGAAGTATTAAATAAATTGTAAATTTAATTGGCCTGAGTAAATATGAAGTCTTTTAAATTAATTGTTCATCAATCTAGTTTTAGCAGTAAGTAAATGATTGTTATTGTAGCATGTTTTACTTTATTTATTGAGAGATTAATAATACATACCTGTGTTTACAGCCGAAGATCTTATCATTAATCTTAAAGATTATCCTGGATTGAAAGAGAAAGATATTGTCGAAATATATCATCCTGAAAATGATTACCCGCGGCTGCTTTTACAAGTTACAAAAGTGGATGCACCAGGACGAGGCAGAGGTACTTTGGGTTCTTTGTTGAATTATAAATAAAAAGCAAGTTTAATAACATCTAACGATTTTACAGACACAATCAGTGTTGAGCAAAGCATTGCAACAACATTTCAATTGCGAACATTTGCTGATGTTTATATTAACATAGTAAATGTACCTGACGTGGCTTTGGATTCAGTTGAATTAACATTTAAGGATCAATATCTAGGGAGATCAGAAATGTGGAGACTGAAAAACCATTTAGTGAGTACTTCAATATTTTGATAAAATTGTAGCAAATGTAAGCAAATTGTCAAGCAAAATCAATAAAAATACTTACTTTTTAACTCCTAAAACTTAAAGAATGTATTAAATCAATAATAAACCAAAATCTCATATAAATGTTTTATTTTTTTTTTTCATTATAGGTGGGTACTTGTGTTTATTTAAACAAAAAGATAGAATATTGTGGTGGTGCAGTCCGTTGTCAGGTTTATGAAATGTGGTCGCAAGGTGATAGAGTGGCATGCGGCGTTATCACTGAGGATACCAAAATTGTTTTTCGATCATCGACTTCAATGGTTTATTTGTTTATACAAATGTCATCGGAAATGTGGGATTTTGATATACATGGTGATTTGTATTTTGAAAAAGCTGTAAATGGATTTCTTGCTGATTTATTTACTAAGTGGAAGGTGAATATATCAGTTTGTTTCAAAAAAATTTAGTCTTAAATAGATATAAATCTACTTTACTATTCAAATAATTAATGAAATTGTTAAAGCTACAGTTAAATTAGTATCATATTACTTATTGCTCCACTAATTTATTCACCGTTTTAGAAAAATGGGAGCAACCATGAAGTGACCATTGTTCTGTTTTCAAGAACGTTTTACAAAGCAAAAACTTTAGAAGAGTTTCCTCAGCACATGAAAGAATGTTTACAAAAGGATTACAGGGGCAGATTTTATGAAGATTTTTACAGGTCAATTAAATAATTTTATTTTTAAACTACATTTTTACTATGTGATTTATTAGTTTATCTAAAATAATATTCACTTCATAAAATTAAATACTGAATACAGGGTAGCAGTACAAAATGAGAGATATGAAGACTGGTCCAATGTTCTTCTTCAGTTAAGAAGATTATTCACGGACTATCAGAAGATTGTACTTCAATACCATGAAAGACCAAATATGGAAATACCCACAGCAATAAACTCAACGGCTGCCCAGGGCAACTTTCTAGAGGTTCTGAATATGAGTTTGAATGGTGGGTTCATTAATAATTGACACTTTGTAAATAATTTTAGAAAAAAGAATCCATAAAAGGTTTTACTTAAAAAAAACATCCCAAAACACCAAATACTAAATTCATATGCATATTTGTCTAAAAATTTTTTCATAATTTCAGTATTCGAAAAACATTACCTGGACAGATGTTTCGATCGGACGGGTCAACTTAGTGTGGTTATAACACCGGGCGTCGGTGTCTTTGAAGTAGACAGGGAACTGACGAATGTTACAAAACAAAGAATCATTGATAACGGTGTGGGAAGCGACCTCGTCTGCGTCGGCGAACAACCATTACACGCTGTACCATTACTGAAGTTCCACAATAAAGACAGCACAATAAACTCAATAGACGATTACTCTATGCCACACTGGATCAACCTATCATTCTATTCAACTAACAAGAAGGTTGCATATTCTAATTTCATACCAAGAATCAAATTGCCGCCGCGCAAGAGCAATGAACCTCTGAAGAAAATGTATGAAGATGAAAGTAAAGGCAAGTTATTGAAGGAAGACGATTATATGCACAATTCTATATTCGATTACGACGCATATGACGCTCAGGTGTTTCAATTGCCACCAGCGCATAGCACATGGTGAGTGATTGTTTTTACTTACTTATGTTAAGACGGTCAAAGTAATAATTTCAGTTTATTCACAATTTTATCATATTATCACATTACCTTTACTGTTACATTTCTATACTAATATTCATTTAAAGTTTTTACATCACCGTATCGTTGACTAACTACGGTACTCTACTAAACAGATAATTATCACACTAATTGCATATTAACTACCTAATTACACTTTAGTTTAGTTTGGTTTTAATGACGTAAAAATGACAAAAAACCTTACATTTAAATGAATACTCACGAAAATCTTAGATCTCATTATAAAAAAAAGAAATTACAGAATTAAATAAATTTAGGTATAGAAAGTAAATAAATAAATAAAATTAATTATGAATTTGTATTTGTCTCACACAAAGAAAAGGTAAAATGTATAATCAACCTTTAGATTTTAACAAATTTTTGTATTTTTTTTTTCTTGTTCCTTCATTTTAGGCTAAATCACGCTGTGTTTCTCTAGTGCTTTCACTAACTTGAATCAAAATTCATCCAAATCTGTTGAGTTTTTTTGCTTTACCATAGTAGCAATTTATGGTAAAATATCACAATTAAGTTATCATCTGACATTAAACTATAAATAAAATAATAGTACTTCAACTTTATGCGAAGGAAACGTTCAATTACGGAAGAAAAAAATCTTCAGTTCATTTATTATTCCCCCCCCCCCCGCTTTTTTTTCATTAGAAAAGAGATAAGTCACCTTTATTCATTGTTTTTAAACCCATTTTCATAATACAAGATTTATCAAATTTATCAAGATTTATCAAATTTTACTTTGATGTTTCTGTTCTGCGGATCACAGTTATATCAAGGGCTTTATTTTAATTTCAGTGTACAAAGAGTTGCTCGTACAAAGAAGACTTCGGTGGCTGGTCTAGAAGGTATAAGCCATAGAAGCTCACCCTCGATACATCACAGAAAGATGTCGGATCCCGACATACATCACAGTCTCGGTTCAGATATACTGAGTAGCAGTGAGTAATTAGTGTAACGTCGAGTAATACTCATTTAAATATTGAATTATATTTAAGTAATAATCCAAAGAAAAATTATATTCTTTGTAATTGTTGAGAATAGCTGAAGCCTTTATGAATATTTTCAAAAAATTATCTACTTAAGGGTAATAAAATTATATCTTTGATCTTCATTCATAAATTGTTCTAAATTCGAATTTTTATTAAATATTATCATTTATGTATATAGTAGAAATACGGCTTTATGTCCATTTGCTTATACAGTGTTCTTATTTCAGCACTAATTAGAATAAAATAAAGACAGACATGTCAGTTGTCAAACAATCAGACATTCGTGATTTTGAATATATCCCTTATGTGTATCACCATAAAGTTTATAATTGCATTATGAAATGTTACATAGGTAAATACAGCGTGACTGACAGCAGCGATACAACAGATTCTCCAACATCAATGGGCCGTGCGTCTCCGAAGAGTTCGGTTTCCAACAAACCCGTTATAAGGACGGGGAGGGCGCTCATAAACCCGTTCGACCCATCACACGTGACGGTCAAACTGACGAGCAATAGGCGACGATGGACGCATATATTCCCTAAAGGTATGAATATCAGTTTAAAGAACTGTATTCTCATTACGACAACATCATTTACATGAGAACTTATAACTAACTTATAAATATAACAATTCGTTCGGATCAGCAAAACGGATGAGATAACAGTTTCAATTAATTATTTTAACAGAGAATCGTTACACAGAATATGGTTATAAAGTCGAGATTTAATCATAAAAAAAATTGTAGGAATTTTTACTTGTTTAGGTAAATTGTTATAAAATTTTGCTCCCTCAAATATACTCATCTTTTTTCCACTCTTAGTTCATATTTGAGTTGCATATACAACCCAACAGAATACACATAAATATGTGCATATTTTGGATAGACTAAGGGCACAAGTTATGCAATTGGTCAATCGGCAATATAGTCGCTTTATACAGGGTGACTGGTGAATTACTATCAATATTTAAGGATTCTCATTCGAATTATGTAAAAAAAATAGGTACTTAATTTTTGACCAAATTTCCGTATAAATAAATAAAGTGTGGACACGTTCCAAGTGTTCCAAATGTAGACGCGTGCGGCGGCGTCCTGATACAACACCACGCCGCCGCACGCGTGTGTGTGTGTGTGTATACCTAATCTGTAGGGTGTTCACACGATGCGTAATTAATTACATAACTTTTGGTTAACGTTACTTAGAAGTTTATTAATATTTATGTTATATTAATTTTATTTTGTCATATATGATCGTCAAATATCACGTCCTCAAGTATCGATAGTAATTTACCAGTCACCCTGTATATTATATAATCACCTACTTCTTACTAAATGACCGTATTTTATTTCTTGTGTTTATTACCATTATAAAACAGTATGTATGTTTGTTTCTTTACTCAAGAAGGACGAAATTTTTTGAATGGGTGATAATTAAGTTTTGCATAATAAAAAAAACATATTATCTTTCATTTGAGAATATTGAGACCACCAAGTGCTAGTTTATTTATTTATTCGGGAACGTTACAATAAGTTATTTCGTAAGATTAAAACAATTTAGAAAGTTACTTTAACATGGAGTATATGGGTTAGAAATATCCATTGCTAAACAATATACAAATATTACAAAGATATTTATTACGTAATTAATAATTTTAGGTCCAACCGGCGTGTTGATTCAACAGCATCATTACCAGGCTCGGCCAGCCGGGGAGCCGGCTAGAGAAACAGAAAGCAAGGATAACGGCTCGATAGCAAACAACCACTCTGTCTATCAAGTTGACGGTGAGGGCATACGACATAGTTAGCTGTTTGAGAAACAATTACTAAGATCAGCCCAAGTTAAAGAGTAACATACATAGTAAATCGTTTGATATGCTATTGCAAGGATTGATTTGTTACAAAGTTGTGTATGTGAAGTAGATACGTGCTCAACTCTGCAATAACATAGACTATCTCACTATATACATGTAGAAAAACTAAAAGAAAGCAGTTGTTGTTTATGATGCTTTTTACAAAATGACTCTTCTTGTTCAAAAATAGGCCTTAAAGGTTTATATTGCGTATTAAGTTGATCTAAGTTTAATAATGGTTTACTTTACTAAGACTTGTTAAGACTGAAAGTAATATTATTCGGTTTACTACGCGACTTTATTTTTGATAACATACATACTACCGAAGTTTCGGTTACTTTTCAGCAACCGTGATCACAGTCAGACGAGATGTGAGTGTAGTTTTTTTAAATAATAAAATTCGCATCCGAATATTATTAGTTTTATTTATGAATACCCGCGAAAGACCTAGATCTCATCTTTGTTAAGGATGTTATGAATAGATTATCTTTCTAGTTATTATCTATTTATATTTATATAGATAATAACTATCTCGAGGCTAGATAATATTTGATTTAGTTTCTAATTTGTGTCGTCATCACTTTACAGGTAATATTATCGGCCGGAAGCGCATGATAAGCACTTCCGGTGGTCTGGGTGTCTTGGGAACAATGGGAACTCCGTCTACAACAAATAACGCGTCCCTAGCGTTACTTTGGGGCGCTACCGGCGAACAAGAGTGGACGCCAGCTTTGACAACCGGTTAGAACATATACCCAAAAACTAAATTTCATACGAATTATACAAGTAAAATCTATAACAACATCATTTTGCCTGTCTGAAACACCTCTTAATATATGATATAATATTTATTAACATTAATGATGATCCCAAAAACCGCATCCGTTCAGCCAGATTGTATACGAATGTTTTCATGTGTGAAAGATAAATTGACATAGCATTTTCAAATCGGTATGAGAAGTTAAGTGGACCGTGTATGTATCATTAGTTTACTAAACTGTCATTCCATTTCTGATGTTTCATGATATCGTCGTTGTCCTACGATCGGTTCGAATGCGGCCCAAAGCGAACCGAGCAATAGGTTTGATATATCATTCGCTGGTTTTGCATCATGTAGTTGCCAACCCTATTTATTTATATTTTTATATAATTTATTATTTCTCATAAGGGTATTATTTCCGATGTGCTTTTAGTTAGCGATAATAAAATTATGTAGACATATTAGTTGCAAGTTTAGGACTTACTAAACGTTTCTCTAAACTTGCCATTTTAAATAACTATGGTCTGTTGAACATGTGCCTAAACCACGTTAATAATTTTTTATTATAATGCGTAGATATTTTACCTCTAATACATGCATGTTATTACTAACATATGAGCGAAGTGAATGAACGCTTTGGGCCTTATTTCGGCGTCACTCGATAATTCATTATATGTATATGTATTCACCAAATTTAAATCGTAGGTTGTAGATGCAATAGATTCTGGCAGTCTAATAAAATAGTCTAATATTTGATTACATGTTATTCTGCACTTACGCTTATAAAGGCATTTATGTAGAAGATATATAAGCGTGTAATATTTATTTATGTCATTATAATTTAGGTGTGGATTGGAAGTCGTTGACTATACCAGCTTGTCTCCCGATAACCACGGACTACTTCCCTGATAAGAGATCTCTTCAGAATGATTATCTCGTTTCCGACTATAACCTTTTGCCTGATGATGTGAATGCTGATTTTGCCCAAAACAGAGCAATATACAAAGAACCGCTCACAACAATGGAAGTATTTAAGGAACTTGTGTCGCAGAGATTAGCGCAGGTACACCTAAAATTCAAATATATATCTTTTATATCTTTATAGCACTAACTGAAATCTAGATAAAATATTGCATAGCTCATATTCAAGAATGGAATCTCTGTTCAAAAACAATCTACATTTTTTAACCGTGCTCGATAATTTTCATTCAGAAATATATTCATTCATTCATTTATTCATTCCAGGGCTTTCAGTTGATAGTGGGAGTGAATGAAAACGAGGTGATTGAATCTCACTGTCCCTCAACCCACACCCCACCACCGTCTAAAGTCGCACCACAGAGTAGCAAACCAACGAACGCGCCCACAAAACGGTATTTACTGTCTATAGGCAGAATATTCCACAAGCTAACTCTAGTTGGATCTACAATCACCGTCACTCGTTATAGACCAAGGTAATATAACATTTATTACTGAACTAAAATCTGTAAATAAATCTATAAAAAGAAAAAATACAGTTAATTAATGAATAATAAGCCTAGCGATTAAAAGGTCTTTATATTCACATCGGATGCAATAAGTGAATAATACAAACAGATATAAATGTAACAAGAAAAAACATTAATAAACATATGTGACTTATAAACACTTAAACTATGTACTTTTAGGCTTAGAAGCCGAATATTAACAAAAAATTGTATGGTAAAAATTACTACTATTTATTGCTACCTTATGAATTAAAGTTTGAAATTAAAATCAATTTAACCCTAATTAATTATCCTGACAATACCTTCAATATACTTATATAAAATTAATAATAATCTATATACATTTCAGACATCCCTACCCACCGTTCAACATCCACTACCGCTACCGTTTCCACGCCCCCTACCACGATACATATGAAGTGTCCTGGGTTTCCTTCACCACCGAGAAACTTGAGAACTACAACTGGAACTACATGGACCATTATATATGTACTAGGGGTGACACAGACTTCTTTCTTGTTGAGGTTTGTTAAACAAATTAAATTGTTTGTCTTTATTCATATGATTTTTATTACTTATGTTAGTTGACAATTGAGTTGTAAAATTTTTAATATACAATATGTTTTAAAAATATTATTTTTCGTGCAGACATCTTGATAATAATATTAAGTAAAAAAATTCTTAATATTTTTTCTGAGTATATGTATATAATAAATACATACTTATTTCTCTTATATAGTAAATATTTAACGTTGAATTATTGTTATAATTAAATTGATCAATTACATTTTCACTCACAAAACTAACTATGAATGAGTTTCTTTTTTGTGATTTCTCTAATTATACAATGAACACTATAATTACTTGTACAATAAAGCTATTTATCAATTACAGTCACTGAAATACTGGCGTTTTAGAACACTTCTACTGCCGTTATACAATCCAGCAACGAAAACAATACTCGAGGATGATTCTACCCACTGCGACATATATCCGACACCAACTAGGCAGGATCTGGACCATCTCACCGAAGGATTCCTTAAGATGACTGAGTCTTACTTCAATAAGGTTAAACGTCCTAACAAACAGAGGGTGAGTTTGTTACATAATTAATACATAATGTATTTAAACTCACATAACATGCATGCTAGCACATGAATGTTACCGTAGACAGCATGATGCACATATATAATATAATATCACTATATATATGAATTCTGTCACAATATTAACACTGCTTATACTCAAACACGAAATATAATGTAAGCATGTTGTAAATATATTAAATTACGTTTCTTTGTTTTAAATTATGTTACTGTAATTTGTTGCATGTCTGTTTTCTTGTGTACATTTTTTTTTATTTGCTCCCCACTGAATGTCGATTTCTTGTTTGAGTACATTTGCATGTATGATTAAAAAAATAAATTATCTCTGTATAAAACTTTTAAATATTATGATACAAAAATATTTGAAAATATTTTAAATTCGACGCGTATAAAGTAATATGCCTCGATAAAATGGGTCGTCAATTACTTGTTGGGCGGCCAATGCGAGAGGCGACACAAACTACAAACCACTGGCCTTATACCTTCCGAAACATATACTATGATATAAAATTTTCCTGATCTCTTTTTATATATATTTCTTAATTTTTTTATAAAAATTTCTTTCTCCTTATGTCCAAGTCATGTAAAACCTTCTTTAGTGTGACCACTACGTTCAAAACTGTAAGGATTCATCAACATATCCTAGGTTCAACATGATATGGGCCGTCGCTCGATTGCCTGTTATTGACAAAAAAAAAAGTATCAAAGGTTAGGGCCGGTGTTAACGCACGGGTGTTCAGGTGGCGTGCGGCGGCGACCCGGGGCTCACTCGACGGCGGCACTCCACCTCAACCTCCATCCTCACGAGGACCGTTCAGGTATACACCATATGCAACACTAATACGGTCCAAATTATTTTGTCATATGTCACAGAGCTGTCAATTACATGAGCGTTTAGTGTCGAAATTACGAAAAAAACATTTTTGAATTTCGAATAGAACTAATTATTGCCTATAGGAATCCTAACTCTTGATACGTAGAAACTTATGCTCTATGTACTTAGTAATATGTAATATTTTTCATTAAGTTTTCCGATATATTCATTTATATGCACATTTAAAATGTTCTGTTGCAATGTATACTTTTTTTTAAATCATAAATCATGATGCACCCGACCGCTTAAGATTTTTTTATAGGGTTTTAAAATTGAAAACATATAATTAAGATTATTAAACTATTATTAACATAACTAATAATAACTGATAAATATATAAAAAGTTGAAGATTATTAACTAAAATTTTAGTTAGTATACTAAAATACGTATTTATATATAGCCACCATGTTCATTGTAATATGTAACCTGGCTTAAAATCACCACATTATGTGTAGTTAAAATGAATGCGTATATAAGGCACTGCTTAAGACAACTGTACAAGAGCGTTGCACGGACTGCACTACATAATGTAATTACTTTGGCTGGCTTCTTCTATTTTAATTTGATTTTTTTTTTGTTATTTATGAAGTGATTTTAGTTGCTATTTGTAATTTTTGATGTCAATAACAAAAAAAATGTAATTGATATCAAAAATTACTCTGTAATTGTAAGTTACTTATAAGAATTTAATATTTTTTTAGTTCTGATCAATATTACAGTGTACGCTCTTATTATAATTTGTTTATAAAATATTTTTTCATTCAAATATGACTCTTAAGCTATATAACTTTAAAGGTCATGAAATTATTTATGTTTTGGTACTAATATTAAGTGATCGTCAATATAAATGAAATGTGTGTAGGGCGGGGCTTCCGGTTCCCCGTTCAGAGAGCGAGTTGGCAGCACCCGACTACCGGATCGACCGAGGCTTAGGATCGAGGCTATGTAATGAACTATAGATCTAAATATTAAGGCCAACGAAACGAGATAAAAAATGTAAACAAACTTTCAGATGTTCATAACATTTGGTCACTTATAAATTTTTGGTACTTTTATTCAATGATGGGCTTAGAGATTTTGTAATAGACTTATATACATTTGATAAAATAATAAAATACTTGCTGAAATTATTATAGTAAAATTTTACTCTTGTGTGTGGTGATCATAATTATTGAAAAAGTAAGTAAGTAATTTAAACCAAAACATGTGTAATTTTAATCAAAAATTAAAATTATAGCAAAGTTTTAATAAATTAAATATTTATAAAAACAAAGTTTATAAGCCATACGACCAGCTACATGCATATATGTACTATCAAAAATTAATACTATCGATTTGTTTGCGTAGTATATCTTGTTTCGTTGGCTTTATTAAAGGCGATGATCATGGAATCAATAAATATCTCAATATCTATATTTATTTTAATATATTATTATTGACTTGGAATAACGAAGTACTTTTTAGATTGTCCTAGTACCAGTTTAATGAACTATAGTTATTTGTCGATTTAAATATTATTTCTTGATTCTCATATCATACTTTGCTATATTTTAGATAGTTTTCATCATATCTTCATTTTGTAATCAAAATTCATAATTGTACAAGTTGTTACTGTAATACAATCTGATTAGAAAAATACTTGCAATTTATGGTTATTTTATAAATTGTTCACTAAGCTTAGAACTATTTGTAAGAAAATTATAAATTGTAAGGAAAACGTTGATATACAATTCTAGAGTAAAAATAGATTGAGTTTCTATCAATGGAATTGTATATTTATAGACGTTTAAGTATGTAAAATATAGCTTAGATATGTTTTTTTAAGGATTTGGTCGCTTTTAGGTTGGCTTGGCATGGCGTGACGCTTCGTCTGTCCTTCGTATATTCTCTGCTTATAACATTTTTCGTCATATATTTTATTTATGTAGATCTAAGTATCTTATTTATGTAGATCGCACTCTTGTTTCTCATAATCTATAACACATTTAAGTTTGCTATTATATATACTTCTTAAAGTTTTCTTCCAGACTTTTTTTACTGCTTATTTGTCTTATCCCTGTTGATTAATTGCAGCAGGTTTCACCTACTAAGACACTAAATACTAGCCCTGGGACCAAGTGAGTAACACTTCCATCAACTGTATACACTTTTGAGTATCAGAAGTTATAACTATCAATTCAATTATAAGATTTTTTGTCTCAAACAACGACTCTATGAGCTAATAAATAAATAGCTATATATTCGTTTTTAAAGTAGCATACTATCTGTAAATACATATATGGCTCTATTTAGAATATTATCTATTGTTACTATTCATGCTAATCATAGAAATCCTTATATGCTTATGTCACGAATTCACAATCAACTTCGGTTACTCAAAAATTACATTCATTTATTTGCATCGTATGTTTCTGCTTCCCGCTTGAGCTAATGCAAGATTTTTTTACAGTAATCTCGATAATTATTATAAGAGGATATTAATTGTGTGAACTTTTACAGAGCCGCAGCTAAAACAGTGCTCGAGAGATCGCAATCACAGTCCGGTGAATGTGATGACACTTACGATGATGGGTAATGAAGAATCATAGCAATTTTTATGTTCAATCAAAATTATAATATAATTCAGGAACACTTAGAACGTTTAACGACCAAAAAACTTACATTGCCCATTGTAACCTATATGATGACGATTGACGTCTGAAATATCTTTAGTCTTTTTGTAGAAAATATAGCATAGATCATAAACATATTAATTTGCAATAAAGTATGAGTGAAATTTCACTAAATAATATTTGAATTCCATATAAATATTAAATATTAAAAATCTTCCAGCGTTATTGAACCGAAGTTGAAATCGAACGCAACGTTAGCCGAGGTTATAGAGAGGATGCGTCACCCGACTTTGGGCGTTGGTTTCCTGCAGCAGACAGTCAGTCTACCGTCACATACCTTTGTATCAATATACGCGATACATTGGCTACAGGCTAATATGGAGAATGTTACTTACGAAAAAGCTACTAACATTATGGAGGTAAAGCAAACTATACTTTATCTTTGTAGACGAATCTGTAGGCATTACTAGTACTAATCTATGAAGAACTTACATCAAAAAAGCTTGATTGTACGAGTTATTGGATCTAGATCTAATTGCAATTAGATTAGACCTTCGAGTTGATTTTTTTTTTTTCCAGAAACTTCTTCAAGAAAAAATGATATGCCACGCGTCCGGTGACACTCTCAAGCGTTATGTTGTTGGTTATTATATGTATCATATATTACCACAGAAGAAAGATAAAGGTAAAAATTATAAATTTATCACAAATAACTTTATAAATATTGATTATTATTTTTTTACTATAATTTATTTATTTAGTTACTTTCCTAGAATTCTAAATTACTTTCGTCCGTCCTAATAAAATAAAGATATAAATATCACTTCAAATTACTTGAAGTTTATTCATTTATTTTATCCTTCCAGAACTTTCGGAATACGTGAAACCTCTAGGCGACTTACAGAGTTTTGAAAACGAATGGATGGAAGTAGAGGTGCTAGGGCCTAGATCTCCATTACTGACAACAGAGACGAGCTCACGAGCGATAGATATATCTGGGACGAGCCCCGTCACTGATGATTCCGGCATGCCCGCCTTTTTATGTGATAATATCGACCCTAATTACATGCAATTAGGCAGTGACGACAGTGAGTTGAAACACTAGTTATATATAATGAGGTCTAAGATTTTCGCGAGTCGTATTCATTTAAATGAAACTAATATTTTTCGGATATACTCCCGACGTTTCGGGTACTTTTCAGCAACCGTGATCACGGGCACACGAGATGTAATGATCACGGTTGCTGAAAAGTACCCGAAACGTCGGGAGTATGTATTTTTTATCAAAAATTAAGTCTTGTAGTATATTCCAAAAATATTAGTTTCGTTTAAACTAGTAATATATAAGGGTGATACAAATATAATTAACATTTAAAAATTCAATACAAATCCATTGTTTTTATCTAGTTTATCTATGCTTGATAATCATATAGGACAAAAAAAATGTATTACATAAAAGGGAATTTCTCATAAATTTTTTTATAATGTTTTCAGTGCCGCTATACAAGAACACTCACCTGGATATCGATGTAAACAACAAGAGTGATCGCATCGAGTGGGGCCACGCTCGCTACCAGGCAACCTTCAGACCGGACCAGGCCTATGAGATGTGTATACAGTGGGCCATCGCTAGTGGAAACATTGTAGCTGAATTGGTATGATAATAGAAATTTATTATCTATTTAGCTATATAAATAAATTTCATATGTCATATGTATATGAGTTTAGTGGTTCTTAGTTGCGTATATATTACCTTTAGAATATGTTGTAAAATACGTTTCTTATATGATTATCCTATAAGAACTTCAAGCGTCACATTAGGATCGTTAAATACACTTAATATGTAGGATTTTTTTTACCTAAATTTAGTTATTTACCAAAATGTACTTGATTAGTTATAGTTTTCAAGTAAAAGTTACAGGGTAGTACTGAATATACCTCTAAAATTATTACGATATCTAAATTTGGCCTTACCGAGTAACTTAAACGTCTGTTTGTTCTGGATAATTTATCTTTTAAATGGACCTACTGTAAAAATATTTTAGTTATATTTAAAAACATTGTACTGCTTTTATATTAATTGCCTTTCTAAATTAGTTTCTTAATATTTTTTACCTTCTTCAGTGAAATATTTGGGAGTTATCTAACGTTTTTAGAAATTATGAAAATTATTAGATCACATTCATTATGAAAACTTGCATAAAATTGGTTATTTTCCACTGAATAATTAATAATGAAATAATTTATTTATGCTGGATTTATTTTTAGATATTCGGTTGGGCTCGCAAGGCGCAAAGTTGTCGTCTCCAAATGGTGCCAATACCGGCTGACCCACTGGCGTTACCCTTCACAGAGAAATCTGATCCGTTAAGAGGTCCAATATACGTGCCTTTAAATGAAGAACCTCTATTACGAGGAAAGACTTCTTTGTTCGAAGGTAAAAAATTTATTATAAATATAATTTAAGAAACACCCATATACACTACACTAGCTTTCCGCCTGCAGAATATCGCCCCATATATCTTACTATCCTATGTTCTTTCCGTCCTCTATCTCTGCATGTCAGTAAAATCAGTTCAGTGGTTTTATTATTGAAAGCGTAACAGACAGACAGACAGAGTTACTTTCGCATTTATAATATTAGTAACAATGCAGTTTATATATGTCGTGGTTGCAGGTTTTCCAGAAGAAACCTGGTTAGAAAGGTTGTTCCTATTCCAAGAGGCTATAGTCGGTAGATTCGGTTTCATAAAATGTACGGTAGAAAGTACATCACACGCAGCGGGCGTAGGTGATCATTTATACGTGCACGTGACTGGAAACATGTTCATATTGATACCGACAACCGTTAAACTAGAACAGAAGTGTTTGAGGACAAAACCAGCGAATAAACCGGTTAACGCCAGCAGGTTGGTAATACTGGAGAATGGTTTTATTGTAGACTGTACAGGTTGTAACTATTTTGTGTTATCACACTAGTATATGATAGTTATTCATATTTTAATTAGATGTAAATTGATCGTTATAGTTTTTATTTGTATAAAACACAGCAGTTTGTTCCTTGCTTATAATTTTTGGACACTTATATGATCATCGAATTTATAACACAAATTTGGTTTCTTTAGAATTTTTTGGAGGTTGCGTTTTTTTTTTAATATCCATAAATTCTTCTTAAAATGCATGCCTAAATTTCATTAACTTATACAAACCAAACAAATATATATTTTTTATGTTTCAATATATATGTAGGTATCTTTCTCTTATGAGTATTCAGTATTAGCTTATATTCGAATTAATGTTTATAAAATACTAGTTTTTGCCCGCGACTTCGTCCGCGTTAGTTTGGTCAACAGTAATATATGTAGGTATAGCTGACCAGGCGAACTTTATTCCTTCTTAGAGGCCATAAATAATCAGGTTTTTCCTGTTTCAATCAAACAGAATGATTGTCATATTAGTTAGTTGTCAAATCTAATGTCAAAAAAAACGTTTTTTATGGGAAATAGAAAAGGGCTGTTTTTAGGGTTTTCCCGGCGATTATTCCAATTTTTCTCACCTTTTAAACCTTTCCTGGACTTCCAGGAGTATTTCAAGACTAAAATTAGCCAAATCGGTTCAGCCGTTCTCGAGTTTTAGCGAGACTAAGGAACAGCAATCAATTTTTATATATATAGAAGATGTTACTATAACAGTTAAATTTATTTATTGAAAAATACTTCTAATTAATAGATCTTAGCTCGCGTTTTAAACGATTATCCTAATTTGAAATACTTTATATATGAATATTTATTAGATATCCTGTTCATTCGGATGTGGCGCCGAGTCCGCACGAGGGCTACATCACACGTCACGTGAGCGGGAAAAATAAGGACGACTATGATAACAGCAGACGGGTAAATACATTATATATTATATACACATACATTTTATTGTATTTATATGAGTATATATGAGTCAGTAGTGGCCTAGTTGTTAAAAGGCCCGCCTCTCATGCATGAGAGCGCGGGTTCGATCCTGGCCCGGGAAAGTAGCAATGTGATTTTTCTGAATCATATGTACTTTCTAAGAATATTTAGACATCACTGATTAATGCATTCCCAAAGAGGGTTGATGTCAGGCAGGCGGCCGGTCGTAAAAACAGGTAGCCAAAACTATTTACAACATGTAAGGCAAACCCTGGTTAATGCTGGGAAATTGCCAGGTAGAAGAAGAATATTATATATATACCAGGGGACAAAAGAACAGAATGATAGTGAATCCTATATTCAATTATTTAATTTAAAGATATCAAAATTTTTCTATATCTTGTCCATATAATTTTCATTTTAGGTTTATATTTGTTAGTTTTGTTTTAGGTAAATGTTCCAATATAGTGTTCCGAGTTCAGTTTCAAATTAGTTTTTCAGCGTTACTTCCAGTAACGTCCTAAAAAATGGCCGAAGCCAGTATTTATAGTTTTCAAATGTTGCCAGTACAAAATTAGAATAGTGCAGTATTTTAATTAATTATAATCAGTCTTACAAATAATTCTAAGGATTATAGTATATTATAATTAGTACGGCATAGATGGCGCTACTTGTAACAATATTGTAAGAACATTTTAGCTATATGTATTTATCATTTAATAATAGTTATAAAGCGTATTTTTGTTTTTTTGCGCAGATGGGTTTCTTATGGTCGTGGAATCACATGATATCTAAGAAATGGAAGTGGTCGCAGACTCCGGCTACAGGCGACGAAGGGTTCCAGATGAGAATGCTCAGAGACTTTAAACATTTCTGTGCAAATCATGAACAGAGATTGAGCTTGTTCTGGGACTCGTGCTGGGAAATCAGAGAGAGAGCGAATGGAATTAAGTTCTAATAAATTTTTGTATTTCAAATTAAAAATAAATTGATTATTTTTCTTTTTTCTTGTTTTTTTTTCCTGCATAGTCCAAAAGGGAAGAGTTGTATTTATCAACTTGCAACATTATATTGTTTTAAAACGAATGAAAACTATTACAGTCGGATATGTTAGATATTTAAAGGTATGTTTCTATCAAACCAAGAACTATTCAATTCGGCACTTATAAGTCCTTTTGGTTAATCAATTTTTATTTCCATGACAACCATTATTAATTAAAAATACAAATTTCCTTGTGATTCAAGTCATATCAGACAGTATAAAACGTGTTAAATATCCATATACCTCAATATAGTCCGTTAGACTTAAGCTGAGCTTTGCATTTGTGTGAGTGCAAGTGAAAGTAGAGTTATACAGAAAACTTTTAGAATTAAATTTTATTATATTTTAAATAGATACATTACATAAATGCTAGAAGAAGACATTACATAAATGCTAGAGTGATTCTAGATTAAAATTAAAATAAACTAAGACCCAGTTTCACCAATCAATGTTTGTTAAATCTAAACATGGCATTTACTAACACACCTTCAAAATTATAAATGTCTGTTAAAATATTTACGTTGCACGATGACAAAATAACAACGCATTATTAAATGTCATATTACATGACCGGCTACCAAATTATTAGTTTTTATTATATGACGACCAAATTGAAACTATAGTGTTTAACGCGACACGTTTCCCACAATGCACCACTTTATACTTTGATCGTATATATTCCTCGATACGTCACTTGTTAGGTAATGCGACCAAATTTTATATATCGTTGGTTGCATACATTTGTCAAACAAAAAGCTTTCTTTTAAATTTACTAGGTGTAACTTGTCAAAATCGTGTTGTCAATAACTTGTGTTATATATTATTGTGTTATGAATATAGACATAAATTGTGTTCAAATTATAAGAGATAAAAAGAAAACTTAATTTGCAACGTCAAAGAAAAGCTGGAGACAAAATCATCATACTAAATTAAATTTTAATTCACTTTAAAACAGATGACGTTACTATGGTTACAAGAAATCAGGGCTGTGATTGGACGATTGAGTTTCGACAACGTATTAACATTCTGTTAGCCATTTGAGGGAGCTCTAGAGCAGGAATTAATATTAGTGGCTTGTTAAGACATTTAAACGAATTATAAAAAGTCAGTGGTGGCTCAATGGTTAAAGGGCCCGCCTCTCGGCCTCTCGCCGAGGGCACGGGTTCGATCCTGGCCCGGGCAAGTACCAATGTGATTTTTCCGAATCATATGTACTTTCTAAGAGTATTTAGACATCACTGATTAATGTTGATTCCCAAAAGAGGGTTGATGTCAGGCAGGCGGCCGGTCGTAAAAACAAATAGCCAAAAACTATTCATAACATGTAAGGCAGACCCTGGCTATAGCTGGGAAATTGCCAGGTAGAAGAAGAATTTGTGCGTGGTGGGACGCTCGATACATCTAACAGACCATCAAACGCCTTAACAAGCTGTCACTTATTTAACATTGATTGGTGAAACTGGGTCTAAACTTGTAAAAGCCAGATGGAAATATTATGAATATTATGGGAAAAAAAAAAAATTAATACAAATTAGAAAAAACTATACGAATTCTTCTTCACTTCACATTGCGTTTTCAACATTTGATGTTACTGCCAGTACAAAGGGTGAAGTGAGGAAGGTACGGAGCGGAGTAAAAGCAGAATAAACTAGTACAAAACTAGAAAAGACGTTGCATTCAAAAATTTGACATCACACCTACACTATCTGTGTGCACTCACACAAATGCAAAGCTCAGCTTAAATCAAACGCACTATACTTATTATCGTGAACAGCCAATGTTTCTCTATGACACTAAGCAATGCACAAGGATTGCAAATATTTAAATAAATATTTGCAATCCTTGTGCATAAATAATATGCAAGGATAAGAAAATAGATAACAATTAAAATGAATTGATAAAATAGTGTCTTTCAAGCAGGGAGATATTATTTAAATGATGTTATACCTTTATTAAAACCTTGAAGATTTGAGGATGAAAAACCTTGAAGAAAAAAATCTGAGGGGTGTGAGTACTCAGGAATTACTGGGTATATTTTTAGGATTTGAATAAATTTTAGTAGGAGTCTAAAATTATCTCAAATCGTTTAATGAAGGTTGCGTTACTATTGACTAACAAGTTAGGTATAGAACATAATCGGGATAAAAAATGTTTTCATACTTTTTTATTACTTAAACAACTATAAAAATGTGGAAGCTGTTTTTGTTTAATCACCAATAGACACCATAGAATAAAATACTACGTGTATAAATCACTTTAACTCGTGTTGTGATAAAGTTTAATTCTATTGCGTCTTATAATACCGACACATAATAAATGTACGTACGCCCATCTGTAGCGTGCTAACAAAGAAATAGAAACAAGGATATTATGATAGTACGTATGTATAAGTACAGAGGAGTTTCCTAGGAGATAATAATTATAATTTATTGTAAATAACTCAAAGCCTTGGTAAATATCAATAAATGGTAAAGAAGTTATTAATAAAACGAGATATTTTAATACGATTATTGTTGTGCGATGGTTTAAAACGATTTTTTTTTAGCTTTCTGTTCAATCTTCTTTTCGCTTCAAAGATAAGTAGGTATATATATATATATTTTTAAAGATTCATAAGTAACATCAAACACTCTGAGTGTATCTTTACAATTATCACCGTAATTTTTTTAAGGAAAATCTGAAAGATATAAAAATTAACAGTTATGTTTAGATTATATTACGCAGCTTCGTGAGTGGAAATGTTTGTGTTTGAGTGCATTCGCTTCTTATTAATTACTAATTGAGTTAACCTTAAATGCGATTTTTGGTTAATGTCAATGGAAAAACTTGAAAACTAAATCGTTGACGTGTATAGTCCGTTAGAACTTAGACTTAAGCTGAGCTTTGCACTTGTGTGAGTGAAAGTAAAAGTAGAGTTAGACAAAAAACTTTTAGAATTCAATTTTATTAGATCTAAATAGATACATAACATGAGTGCGACAGTTATTCTAGATAAAAAATAAAATAAGCAAAACATGTAAAAGGCTAAATGGAAATATTATCGAAAAAGAAAATTAAGTACCTAATAATAATTTTGAAAAAACAATACAATTTTTTCTTCACTTGACATTGCGTTTTCGACATTTGGAGTTGCTATCAGTACAAAGGGTGAAGTGCGGAAGGTGCGGGGCGGGGTAAAAGCATAATAAACCGGTTAAAAACTAGAAAAGCACGTGGCATTCAAAAATTGGACATCACACCTACCTATACTATAACTACACTCACACAAATGCAAAGCTCAGCTTAAATCAAACGTACTATAGTAATATTTTTTTTGGCATCCCATCCAGTGAAGTAATTAAAAGAAAATTTTCCTAAATAAATGAAATATAAAACATGTACCTATATCAAAATAAAAGTAATACAAAGGTTGAAATAAAATGTAACATCTAACGATAGTGATACAGATATGTTTGTAAAAAAAAGGCTAAAGATACCAATGAAACTTAGTTGTGTGAAGTCGAAACTTTCCTTAAAAAAACTTTCCTTACAAACACTACGGATATCAGTGAAAACGAAAAGTTTCATATAAAATAGTTAGAAAGTTCATAAACGCCCACATAGAACTCTGATAGTAATCCTCAGTTACACATTAAGGTCACAGTGGCTTTGTACTTATTGAAAAAAATGATAAATTTTTCCACAAACTTAAAATCCAAACTTTATATTATCATATAATACGTGTAAATCGAATATCACATTAATATATAATATACTATATTTTAATTAAAGGCTAAGAGAGAACGAAGTCAGGAGTAAGTTGTTAGTATGAAATATTTATACTGTATTTCTATCATTAACCAAGACGTTAAAAAGACGTTAGTCATAAGTCCTTGGTATGACCTCAATTGAAAGCTGTAATGACCTCCATATTTCATGTTAAAGGCCAACATAATTTTAACCCTGGACTGTAAAGGACACATGTAGGATGTATTACCTTGTCTTGATAAAAGCATTCATAGAATATTTTCCAACAGAGACTCAAAACTCTTTAAAGATAATGTGATAGAAAATAATAATGGTAAGCGAGTACTTTACGTTTACAATTGTGTGTTTAGAAATAAGGACTTTACAACTACATATATACTTGATAAGGTTGGTAACGTTTGTATATACAACTTGACGTTAATAAGTATGTTTTTAAAATATTATAAGCTACTAAATAAAATATTTTCAAGACAGGAAATGATATAATAAATGCAAAACTACTATTTTTACTAAAATCTCAATTGATTTTTTGTTGTCGGGAAATAATCTATGGGCTTAAGAATTGTGAATTTGAGTACAAATAGGTTATAAAAAATATAGTTAAAAATACGTGCTTTTATTGTATATTACCAAACAGAAAAGTGTAAAATAAATTTACATATATGAAGAAAATAATAATTAACGAAAAATATTAATATAGCCTGAGGTGCCTTGTGACATATTTTTTGTGAAACCAGAACCACATCTTTTTTAACAATAATATTATCTAATATTGAGATTGATATACAGCATCGATTGAATCTAGCACAAAGACCCGTTCGAAACGGAGCTCCACAACTAGCGAATTATAAACCGCAAGGATTTGTATTTTGCACCTTATCGTTATTAATAAAAACAACAAGTGACAGTATGATTTTTTTAATTAAAATACCATAGTGTGTAATGTAACTAATTTCTAATGTTATTTTATAAACTGATCACAAACTTCATAAATATCTATATTTTTTTGTATCTAGATACGACCCGTATTTTTCTTAAATTACTTTTACAAAGTTCAAGTTTTTAAATGAAATTCATTTAGCATAATAAATATGTAGTTAAAAAATATGTATGTATGTATCTTAAAAAAAATTGTCAGAAAGAAACCTGTTTGTGAATCACACATAGTA